GCTCTTGGATGTTGTGGCACCACCCATTTCCCTCTGCAAATTTTTGCCACTGCAGGGGCCAGTGTCCTGCATTGCGCCCTGCATCATGCCCATATTGGTTTGGGTTGTCAGCCTCAGCATTGCATGCATCTTACATCCAGAGCAAGCCTTCTGTTCGGGTATGATGTCACAGGTGTGACAGTGTTTGGGGGCCTGCAAAATTTTGTTCGATTCTGCGTGCACAAATGGAGTCTTTGTGATCAGCGATGCAGTCACATGCCGCAGTTTCACCACCAGTTTACAAATGTGGATTCCAGTGTGGTGCTGTGGCATGATTTTCAATCCTTGTGAAGCACTGCTGCCTGGAAGGCTTGTGCCTACTGCTCGATGAAGTTTACTGGAGTTGCTGTGTTTGTGCAGCATAGAGACCATAAAAAATAGGAGCGCTAAAAATGCCCATCATACAGCATAGAAGACCATCTGTGTGGCACAGAGGAAGCAGTTTATACACATCAAACCCCTACCTCGCCTCCAATGTTTTCCCTAGCCTGCTCCCACCCAGAGCGAGAATTTTGATGCATCTTTGCCCTGATGAAAAAGAGGATGCGGATTTCATATGGTGAGGCACAAACAGCACACAGCAGAATGTGGAACCTGCGGTAGCAATAACTGGGCATCAGTGTCCGTGCTCCGTCCAGACTCCTGGATATGCTCCAGGCATTTACATGTTCCTCCAACTGCCGATTGTGGATGATCGTTTGATCGCCTGTGTGGAATGCCAGCAGATTTCAGCGATGCAACAAGAGAGGGCTGCCTATGAGCAGTGTGTGAAGGACATGTCGCTCAAGACGCAGGAACTGTCGTTGTGGCTGCAGAAGGCGAATGGCAAGGCGGATGCTGGCCCAATCGACCCAGACACGGTGATCGTTCCTGAGGACGAGCTGTGCAGGCAAGCCCTTGAATCGCAAGCCGAGGACCTGGCTATCGAGGACTGCCTTTACGCCCTTGACAAGGCCCTCCAGAATGAAGTTATTGGGCTTGACTCCTACCTTAAACAGGTGAGCGAATCCAATTCTCTGCCAACAGGTATGCAGGGATGCGTAAGAAATATCAATTCAAAACTCTAGCAGTGCAGGGAGTTGTGCAGTAGTAGTTTCCAGTAGTTTGTTGATGGCTGGTGGCACTGTTGTGTATTGTGCGCGAGTTCTTTAGTTGATGTGCTGCACAAGTTATGAATAATGTATGCAGTGCCCAAGTGTGGCGGTGTTCTGCTCTTAGGAGCATGCAAGCCAAGCACGCTGGTGTCCTTATTTGCGTTGCTACCCCAGTAGGGTTGATGGAGCATCGAAGTGGCGGTGGATTACTTGCTTCGTTGTTCAATAGCGGGACTTTTAAAGCGTCCACGTCGCGCCACGAGAGATGGTGGTGGTGGCCAAATGCTGCCAAGTACTGAGAAACGGTTGTCTTGCACAAACCATAGACGTACCGCAGTGGGGTGCATTGCAATCGATTGGCTCCAGAACACCCTTGGAGGCAACTGTGTTGCTCCATCAACGTTAAAGCAACACAAGCAGCTGAATCTCTCAGCACAATTGTCTCGAGTTTGTTCGAGTTACGAATGTGCCCAACCACAAGCGTTGTGTGTCCCAGGTGCGCCAACTGTGCAACAAGCAGTTCTTCGCCCGAGTGCTGGGAGCCAAGGTGGCTTCCAGGCAGTCGCAGCATCCCATTCCTGCACGCCACGGCTCAGGCCCCGGCGTCCCGATGCCTCAGGGCGACTCTTGGGCAGCCTCTGGCATTCTGATGAACCCGCTGGCAGGACAGAGGGCATAAGGGCCAGGCCACTGCGACGTTTCTTGTGGCTGAGCCATCAGGCACACGTCCACAGGGTGGCACGCAGTACAGTGTGTGCGCCAAGTTTCTGCATGCCATCCATGTCCATGCTTTCAAGCCCGTGGGATGAAAGAGGCTAGTTGGGGCAGCTGAAACGATTTCTTTGTCCGTGAAGCCCCTACAGCTGGGTTAGCAGAATGTGGAGAGCAGAAGTTGTGGTTGCGAGCTTATCTGCAAGGTAGTTTTCAGTCTGAGGGAATTGTCCTTGCCTTTGTATCTTCAGCTGCTGTTGTGGCTTGTCCGGGTGCGCCACATTTGTTCTTGTGATGACAGCAGCGGGAAGGGGTGTGTGGAACTATCAAGGCGGAGAATGGTTGTTGTACGGGAAACACCATTTGAAATATTTGTATGTATTTGTAGAGCGCCGCTGCAGTGCCATAGCCCAGCTGGGGTGTGTGCCACCGAAAACTGAGGGCGCCACAAGCGCAACACAACCGTCCCGTACGTGTGTTTGCCGGCAAAATGCATGCTACCAACATCGCGCCAATGGATCTTAAACCGGCCCTGGTTTCCAGGGCCGTGGAGGGCCAAACATAGGAGCTGTGCAGTGCCCAAGGGCTTGGCCTTGGATTTGGATCTTGGCGGCGGCCTTTGATCGCTCACCTGGCACCACGTCGTGAGGGCATCGCAGCCTGTTGCGTTGCGACACTGTGCTGGATGTGGCCTCCATCACAGGCAGTCACATCTTGGGTCGGAATACGCTCCGACAACACAACCTGATCTCCACACAAGGGCATTGCTCGGCATCGCCAGCTTTGTGGAAGAGCTTCGCCTTTCCATGTTGTGGCAAGTATGTATTCAACGGAATTGGACGGAAGGGAACGGTGATGTTCCAGAGCAGGGGATTCTCCTGTTCTTGAAGGGAAGGCGGTTGATACAATTCAAACGGCTTGCTTTTGAGTGCACATGGGGAAGCGCGAATCCACGATCGCCAATGCTTCAACGGCGCTGGCACATGGCCACGCGCAAGGCCACACCCACATGCGAGTCGGGCTTACATATTTGCTTGTTCGACTCAAGGTTCGAGCACAATATTCCTTGACGACGGCGGCACCAAACACGACCAGATTTCTTGATCCTTTCACAGCCACCCGTCCACAAATTCGACCCCAAAGACGGCCATCAAACACAAACGCCCATGCAACAATTCAGCCACACACCGCCTCATCACCAAGGTGCAGCCAACGTTCGAAACATGCCATAGACGTCTTTTCACTCAGAATTCAGCACGGTGCGTGGGTTACTAGTACACTGACCCTCCGCCAACATCACGAACAAATTAGTGAGGCGAACAGGAGAGAAAAAGAAATGTGGTCCGTAAACTCCAAATCCACCGCTGACACACCCAATTCCTGGCTGCTCAGATCGTGATCATATGGTCACTTCCCAACGCCCTCACTACAAAACGCAGGTACAACTGTTTCTTGCAAGCGAAAGGGAAGTAAGGGGTGGGCACAGTGCTGAAAATTTTGGGGAACTCACATCCAGAACTTCCCCACAAGCAACCTTTGTACCTTGCAGACAAGACACCATGACCAAGGCATTTATCTCTGAACTTGATGGCGTTTTATCATGAAGCTCATGTTGTCCCCAACAAACATGGGTGTGATGGAAAATTACCACAAGAACCAAATTACCAATTTTCATGAAACATGTTTTTTTTTTTTTTTTATCACAAACTGCCAAACTTCAAGCCAAGGAGTACGCATAGGCTGAACAGCTGCCAGTTCAATGCTGCACCAGGAACAGTGGCATCCCAGCATGAGTTAATTTTGCATGTTTCATAGAAATATTTTTTCCGCAGCAGTGCTTTTTGGGTTCATCTTAAGCAGCAAAACATGCATACCAATCGCTATCCATCAAGCACAACTGGTCCATCCAGTGAAATTGTGATTGTTATGCGGCTAAACGAACACTTTATCATCAACCGCTGGCTGAGACGGCGGTGATGGCACAACAGTTGCCACATTGCTCCGGTGCTGTGATATGTATTGCATGCTGTTGCTTGGGCATTTGAGAAAATTGCTTCGCCGATGAACGGGGGTGTACATGCATTGTCTTTCCCTGAAGACGTTTTGCCCATTTCCATCCTTTTGGCATCGAGGCACGATGAACATACTGCATGGGCATCGTGCGCTTGGGGGTGACTACTTGTGGAACAGTGGATAAAGCAAAACTGGGCTCGCCCAGCGTCAACTTCTGATCCACTTGAACATTTGTTACTGAACCGCAAATTGCCTGGATGGAATAATCAGGGAGCGAATTAGACAGCATTGATCCCCTTGGGCGTGATGTTACGCTAGGAGTTTCTGTGCTTCGAAATTGCAGACAATGGGATAACAGGTGCGAATTTGCTCATTCCGATGCACAACAACGCGGTGGTTGGATTGTGGCAATATTTTAGGTTAGCACGGAACCAGTCATCGACACTGCTTTGCTCGAGCGAAATAGGGAGCGGATCGCTGTACCCTCACCTTGAAATGTAAGATTTCTCGATGACGATGACTGTGTGGACGAGGGAAAAGTTAGGAAGACACTTTTTTAAATTTGGTACGTTCAGCATCAAATATGACGTTAAGCTCCCCCCCCCCCCTCCTCAGCGTCAATCCTTATTTTCATTCCAGGGTGACTCAGCCACATTACAATGTGATACAGCTTCGAAATTGTTCCAAGGGGGAAAATGGCCGAAATTGTGGCGATTGCTGTGATTTGAAAAATACGATGCCAAAAGCCATAATAGGCGAATCGCCTAAGGCGATGGGAGCAGCCATAAAGCCTAAAAATTGATCCATTCTAGGGACTTCCTCCAAGATGGAAAGTTTTGAAGGAGATTTTTCCACAAGTCATGAACTATATGCCTCTGATCAGTGGCGTTTTTTTCGCATCTTCCCACCTCATTTTGGATTTACTGCAATAACATAATCTCTCAGCGTCAATGGCTGGACCTCCCCCCCTAACGTCAATTTGACGCTGAGAGTACCAAATTCAAAATAGTGACTCCCCTTAATAAGTGTTTACGTGATGTGTGGTGTCTTACGGTGAAAAGTACATGTGGTGAACATGGTGTGTGCTATGGTGAATGTATATAATGATGACGACCCCCGCCACAAAAAGCATCTCCCCAGGATATCTTAGTCATCCGCCCGTGCAGCGTATCCCGAGACGGGTGCGACGCTGAGTGCCTGACACCCGCTTCCCGCCCCGCCACCGCGCGGGGTGCCGCCAGCGCGCGCGGCGACCTCGATGCACCCCGGCGGGCACTGAGGCCACCGCCGCGCGCACACACACCGACCCCCGCCCTCCAGCCCCCGCCCAGGCTCCCGTCATGCTGGACGCGACGGGCCTCAGGCTCGGCCTGTTCATCGCCAGGTCCTCGCGCACCGACCCGTTGCGGGCCCGCGCTCCGCAGCGACCGCGCCACCGCCCCCTCCTGCCATGCCGGCGGATCTCCGCGCTGCTCTGCCCAGAGGCCGAGGCGGTGGCGCTTCTCGTGGATCGATGCCTGACCGCGGGCCTCCTCGCGCCTGGCCTGATCCACCCCACTGTCCACGGTGCGATACCCCCCAAAGATAACTCCCCCGTTCGTTGTCCCTGTTTCCTTCGCCTTCTTTTGCCAGTTTAAACGCCAAACGCACCCGCAGCGGCGACAAAGGTGCTGATGGATGCGTCGGCTCGATTGCTTCATTCTTGATGCAGTCGATCTGACGACGACCGACGCCCTGATGGGGTGGCTGTTCTGCCTGTTCACCGCGCTGCCGGCGGGCGCCGCGGCGTACTTCGCGTCCCGGTCAATGCTTGAGTCGCAGGAGACCTGGCGCAGGGTGAGGGAGGAGCAGGAGGCGCCAAAGGTGTGGGGCCGCCCCGCGCAGGGATTGCGCGCCAAGAAATTGGAGGATGTCGCTTTCTCACGCACCGCCAACGAAGTTTCTCTCTGTGAGAGAGTGGACGCAATGTCGTACAGTGCCTCTTCCCCTGACTGTAAGGGCCCGTCGGAACTTTAGGCGTTGGTTGACCGCTAATGGGAGAGCAATGCATTGGAGTTGGTTTGCTTTTTTCCTTTTTCTGGTTTGTTAGCTTGTGGAATGGTTGTTTGGATGGCCAATTCCGAGGACTAAAGTTGTCAGAAGCAACACTGAAAAACAAATTCCTGCCGCCTTACATGCGATGGCAGGCTGTTTGGGTAGGGATTCGAAAGGGAATGCCTGTCCCTGTTCACAATTGTTTGTCAAATGCGCTTGTGTGACACACGTTTTGGCAACAAATTTGTGTGACGATCAAGAAATTTTGCATGCGATCATAACGTAATTTTGCTGCCAGAGAACTTCCGAGACCTTTCCACAGTAAATTTGGAAGAGTGTATGTTGCTACCTGGATGTCTAAATGTGTAGTCACCTTTCATGGCACCCCGGTGGATTCATAGTGCCTGGCTTGGGGACAAAATTCTAAAAAATTTTGCAAGTTGGGGGTATCCATCGCACAGATTGCTGTCCGCAATGCAAGAGCTAAAATGGTATCCGTTGCCCTGCACAATGCAGTCCTTAATCTGTCCAGTTCCAGCCTTGCATCTCTTTTGGGAACTGCTGATTGATTTCTGTTGGCACAGGTCGAGGAAAAGATTCTGTATGGAGTCGATGTGTCGCAGAGCAAGTTTTTGATGCTACCAACTGTTGAGGCAGCTGTCCACTTTGCGGCCCTGGCTCACAAGGATCAGATGCGACTCACTGGCAAACCATATGTGACACACTGCATACACACTGGGCTCATTTTTGAGGAATTGCTGACATCTTTTGTAGATGACTCAAGGTAAGTCCAAGTATGCTCCATAGCAGCTTTCAGTGTTTGCACTGCAATGGCAGCGTTTAACACGATTGTCAACACCAATACCAGTGTGTTCAAATGAGCTTGAATGCAGAAGTGCATGGCTTGCAGCGACCCAAGCACGGACTTGAAAGGATACAAACAACATCAGGACTGATTTCAAGTTGAATTAAGCCTGCATCTGTGCACCATGCACCTCAACCTCTGCAGGATTGTCAGCCTGGCAGCCAAAAGTGAGAGCTGACAGTGGACAATGTGCTGGAAGGAATACTGCTGAATGAGGTTCTGTACAAATCCCATTTGCCAATATGTGTGTATAGGCTTTGAACACGTTGCTCTAAAAGTGACGAGTCACAGCCCTTGTTCCTGCAGCATTGGACATTGGCCGCATGCAGTTACTCCAAAGTACAGTGGCCGCAAATGCCCTGGTGCAAAACAGGCATATGGGGCAGTGCTTTGCTTCGCTTTGAGCTGTTCTTTGCGCAGAGCCGTTCACCAGTGCACTGACTCATTGTGAGGTTGCTGTAGAGCTGAAGTGGCAGCCATGGCTGCTGTTTTGCACGATGTCCTAGATGATACCAACGTGACTGTAGAAGAAGTAAAAAAGGCATTTGGGCCGGAAGTGGGGGACTTGGTGCAGCAAGTCTCAGAACTCAGCTCCATGGTCCAGTTGCTAAGGCGGCGGAGGCGAGTCATGGTCAGTAGAGCTTTGCTGCAGAGGATAAGTTCCAGGGCTTGCATTCTGCAAAGAGCAATGCACAATTCAAACAGCCAGTCCAGGTTCTCTAAATTGGTGCATGACGAACAAAAGCTGATGGTGCCCAGACTGTTTAGGTGACGTGTTGCATCGCTGGGTAATCTGTGTATCGAAAACAGGGCAAGTGTTGTTGGCGTGCGGCAGTTGCTCTGTAGGTTGTGGGCGAGAGGGGACAGCACTGCCGTGAATGTAGAATGGAGAGCATGGATTGCCCTGCACTTATTCATACCAAGCAGAAATCACTGCTGCATAGTGGGCTGTTGTGGCTACAGTTCGCAGCAATGTTCGTCAGTTGTAACAGTTCATCAGTTGGTATGTCATTTTGGCACTGAAGACATCATGGTGTGTATGACCGATTGGCATTGGTTGGTTAAACAAGCCGATTAACTTCATTGCTTTGATGGAAAACCGTTGTTTCCCATTGAAGCTACAACTTCTGGATGGGTGTTTCTGTGTGGACGTGGTGGACGTTTGGGGCAGTCCACAAGCGTGATTGCACAATAGCGCTTTATTGAAAGGGGTCGTCATGCTATGAAGGGTATACTAGGTACTGCTTGATTGTGGGTCCACTGCTATGTTGCAAGGTTGATGATACGTTGTCCTTGTATCCACAATTGTGTCATTTGCAGCAGCATATTTCAGGAGTTTGTTTGATTTTGTGCATCTTACCTCCTGTAGATTCGCTTGGATTACATGGTGTGTAATCTGTGGATTGTCCAACGATTCACAACAAATACTGTGCACTATCTGGATCTGACAGAGCTGCACTGGTTCCCTGACAGTCTATTCTGCACTATGACAGGAAGGTGGCCGTGCTGCTGAACAAGGCGTTGAGGAAGAAGACCTCCTGAGGAGCACGATCCTGAAGTCAGCCAGAGAGCCCCTTGTCCTCCTCATCAAGCTGGCAGATCGCTTGCACAACATGAGAACTGCTTATGCACTGGAGCCAGCAAAGAGACGATCGGTGGCTTTGGAGACACGCAGCATCTTCTGCAGGTTGGCAGAGAGACTCGGGCTCTTTGCTCTCAAGGTGCGACATTCCCACGCAATTCTCAAGGCACTTTGTTACCAGTTTAGCCCTTCACAGAGAAAAACAAGGCAGCGCAGGAGCACACCCATGGGCAGGAGCATGTGTCTGTTGCTTTTGTGTGTACTTGAGTGTTTCTTCTCAACCTTGTGAACTAATGAGCACCACTGCACTGCGCACAGAGCATAATCCATCACCACATTGTTTGAAGGTGCTCTGCTTCATCATTTGCCCATGGTCAGAATCAGCTCTTTCTGTGCACAGGTGCTTGAACATGTGCTGTTTTATGTTTATGTCAATAAATTTGAGCAGCAAGACTATTGTCTGAAACGTTGCCTATTTCAGAAATCGGCTGATTGCTGTTAGTGGCGTAGTGACAAAGGCAAATAAGCACAACAGGTCACCCCAGAGACGAACCATGTCATGCAAGTTCACAATCTACGTATGCTGGGGAATTGCCAGTCCTGACAAAGGCGACTGGGTGCTGCAGGCAGAGCTGGAAGATCTGAGTTTTGCTGTAACTCAGCCCCAAGACTTTCAGAATGTGTATAGGCAGCTTTGTGGCATGTGGGGTGTGTCAAGCTTCACAGACAGTGAGCCAATGAGCTCTGATGACCTCTCTCGGCTGGCCATCCCCCCTTATTTGGGCATCGCAGGGGTGGAGCTGCCAAAATCTGCCACAACTTACCTGGACGAACCTCTGTACATCGCACGAGGTGACACCCTGACAGGTGATGTGGGCACTCAAAGGCCATTGCAGGAGACTTTGGCAGAGGGCCGAGGATCAAGTGATCAAGGAACGGCAGTGCTGGATCCACCAGCAACTTCCGTTGCGTTGGACTGTGGTGTGCAGGGATCTGTGCAAGGTGGGGCCAACCAATACTGCCAAGGAACATCAACTGTTCCCATCTGGGTTGAAGAAGATGTGCCTGGTGTTAGCGGCCTCTCTTGCGATGACGACGGCATACGAAGGCAAGGCGCCATGTGCACAAATGCAGGGCCCGAAAAGCGAGTGCTGTCAACTGGCTTTAGCCAGCCATGTGCCAATTCATCGAGGGATGGATTGGATCAACAAATTGCCATCGTCGATGCTCCTTCACAACCTGCCAGTCTGCCGGTTGGCGCTCCTGCCACCTGGGAAACCTTGACCTCTGAGGACTGCAGACAGATGCTAGCGTGTGTGAACCCCTTCACATCGGTCATGTTCACTTGGAGCGGCCCAGCAGGCAACAAGGGCTTTGGGCTGGACTTCATCAGGTGCCGCACAGAGGAGCTGCTTCAGGAGATATCGATCCTGTCCTTTGGCGCTGGGTACAACATCGAGGTCTATGGCCGCGTGAAGAGTTTGTACAGCACCTACAAGAAGATGAAACGCAAGGCGGCGAGCATTGACGAGGCGTATGATGTGTTGGCCCTGCGGATCGTGGTGGACAGTGAGAGCAACAAAGACAACAGCGCCGCCCGTAGGCTGTGCTACCAGCTGTTGTCTACAGTCCAGCGGCTGTGGAAGCCAGTGCGATCGGAGCTTGACGACTACATCGCGGTGCCCAAGTACTCTGGCTACCAGAGCCTGCACACGTCTGTGATCGGCCCCGGAAAAGTTCCCTTTGAGGTGCAGATCAGGACGCGATCCATGCACGTGGATGCTGAGTATGGCAACGCTGCCCACTGGACCTACAAAGAGCTTCCTGTGCTCTCAGGGCAGGATGGGCCCCAAGGCCAAGGGACATGGGGCCCTAAGGTGGGGCAGCCTGTGGTGAGAATCCGCAACGGAAGCTACTTGGATGGGGTCATTGTGAACTGTGAGCACAACCAAAGGCACTTGCTGGTTGCTGTGAGCCTTAAAAAGCATCTGCAGAGACAAGAGGGGAGTCGGTTGGCAAGCATGGATGAGTACCGGTGGATGGTGGACTACGTGGAGGCACAGGGGTGGTATGAGGCTGGCCAGGGGGATGTAAACGTGGTGTTGGAGCACTATGTGCTGTGCGTGGATGGGGCCTACCACAAGGTGGACCATTATGGTCACAAGCAGGAGGTCATCGCCCGGCCGCTGGAGCCTCCGCAGCAGGCTATGGGTTTGGCCAGGCAGTGTGTGCCAGGGGCAGGCGGGGGCAAGCAGGGAAAAGGGGGCGAGGCGGCCTCCAGGATTCAACAGGAGATCAACCTGAAGGCTCGGTACTTGCGCCAGGTGGGCAGAATACTAGTTCTCTTGTTATTTGGGTGCCAAGTTGTTCATTGCAAGTGAAAGATCACGTGGCTTCCCTGTTCTAACAGCACATGTGTGACCATTTTGCCACCCAGCTAAAAGATGCAGGGCGGTGGAACGCCTGAAAAAGGATGGGGTGCAAGATTGGCAGTGCACAGATTTTGTACTGTCCATCGGACCTCATAGATTGTGAACTGTAAGCAGCGTCGTGCCTCTATTCGCTCCTGGTCAGCCAACGTGTCAGCAGCCTGGTATTTTATCTGTCAATGGGTGGCATTGTCCAGGTTGGCAGTGTGTGATTTTGTCATCATGCGACAAGAGGTGGGATTCTTTTGGTACCTACTCATCTTTACGGAGAGCCTTACGCAGATTCCAGATTCGGTTTGTGGCTTTGTCGCATGCCGTCAGTCACAGAATTGCACAAGCTGACTGTGCTTCCTTGCTATGAAATCACATCCCAGCACGGCATAATTGTGAGGCTATTTATTGGCATTTGCTGTCGCTGTTATTTTAGTTTCTGTCGGTATCAATTTTTGCCATTATGCTGATGTTATGCTTTACAGTTCTAATATTATACTGCTATTATCCATACTCTTGCAGCATTAATGCTGTTGCATTTGTGGTTGTGGCATTTGCACGTTCACATTATGGCCAACCTGAAAACACGCCATCTGCTGTAGCCAGTGCATTCGTGATTGCCAATGGGTCTGCAGAAGTAAAATGCGAGTCGAACTGTGAATGGATATACTGTAACCCATTCCAGTTTTCTGTTTTGCAGATGTTGGACTTCTGTGCAGAGTTGGATTTGGAGTGCCCCGACAGTGAGACCATTCACGTGATGTTGTGGCCGGAGGGACAGATTAGGAGCTTCCCAACTGGCACGACAGCTGGGGATGTGCTCTCGTCGGGCGGGTACATCGAGATAGTGGACGAGGGCACCGAGGCGCACAGGCCCATGAGCAAGCTGGTCAACGTGAACAATCAGTTGGTGCATGAGGACACGCAATTGAAGGACGGCGACTATGTTGTGCTTTCAAGGGACCTTGTGAGAATTTGATGTGGTCGGCTGCCAGATGGAGAGCACGATATCTGTCTTTCGATAGTCAGTCGACTTGGATGTCGACAGGAGTGCAGGTCATCATCGAGTGGAGTGTGTGAGCGGGCGGGGGGCGGGGAAATGTATGTAGACGAGTTGTGTGTGCCGTCATTGTCGTCACTGTACTCTTTTCTGCCTGTGGAGCAGGAACACACCTGCGCGCCTTGGAGTCGGCTGCCACATTTGATCTTGGGTCCTTGGGCGCCTTTGGCAAGCGTGGCTCCATGGGGGAGCAGCAAGGACCTGCTGCATTCCCTGGATCACATGCACCTTTGCAGGGCAGCACAATGCACTGGAGATGATGGGGCTACTGCTACACTGAGAGATTGGGGTCCAATTCATTGCACGGCAGCGATGGGCTTGACAATTGTACACCAGACAGTTGTATATCTGCGCTATCACATTCATGTGGTGCTGGCACAGTGGCAGCACGTAGGGTCAGTGAGAAAGGTGCAAAAATTGACCACTATTCGCCTCGTCTTTGTGCACCCAGCGAGGTCCACCCGTCTCAATGAGGACAGCATGGTCGCGCAGGTGTCGGGCCTCGCCTGCCTGCAGGCACCGCAGCATCGCTGTTCTGTGTTGTCCACGTTCGCTGAACATGGCCCCTCACTTCTGCCGTTGCGCTCACAGATCCTTCCATCATCATGGCTGATGGGGGAAAGCATCATCACATTTAATGCTGCCAAGGGGAACCCTTGTAGGGTACCATTTCACAAATGCAATCAAGGGGTTCGTGGCATTTCACAGCTCCTGCTCCCAATAGCGACACAACATCTTCCAAATCTTGTTTGAAAAGCACAATTGAGACCACGTCCCACCTTACATACTTTCCAAATCGGTCAGAGAAACCCCACACCTTATGTACCGCCTGTGGGCTGTCCATCCGGCTGGTACAGGGAGGGCGCTTCGTTCGACTGCAGTGCCTTGCAGATGTCCTGTTTGGTAACGGACATGAAGCTGGAAGGCAGCTCCACATCGGGCACGATGCCAATCTTGTTGATGTCCCTTCCAGATGGCGTCTGATACTTTGCCACGGTCACGGCTAGTCCAGAGCCATCGGACAAGGGCACCAGCGTTTGAATCAAGCCCTTCCCAAAGGTCCTCTGGCCCACAATCTGGCCCCGATGGCTATCCTGAACAGCTCCGGCAAAAACCTGCGACACAAATTGTTGTATTTGATGAACGAAAGCAGATGGATTGTGCCTGCATCGGAATAACCGCGACACAAATTGAATGTGACACCATCGATATCTCACAAAATTGCAGGCCGAAAATCTGGTCGTATAGAAAGCAGAATGTGCAAGGATTCTCGGAAGGGAGGTTGCACAAGAACGTTAGATGCGGCTTCGCCATGCTTTGCCGTTTGTATTGGAAACATCCCATTGCCGCACAAATTCGGTTGCATCTCACTCCTCAGACTGCATGATACACGATTGATGGGAAGGTCGCTAGCGTGGTCAACGCTAACAGGGAACTGTTCTGCAGGCGCCATTTTCTCTGTAGCGCCCTTCCACAGAGGTCGATCAATCTGCCAAACGCGGATTGTCCAAACTGGACAGAAATTGCTCACCCCACCATGGGCCCAATGCGTCTGTTACGAATGGCAGCAGAAACGTTTTGGCAACACATGCATGGACGTGTGAACAGCGCCCAACAGTGTTTCGTGCGTGCGAGGGCATGCCTTGGCATCTTTGAGCCCAATTCCTGTTTAAGGTGAAGAACAGGCTCAACAGCGATGGCATGCAAAACACAACAACCTGGGGTTGGAGCAAGTTAGAGGGGTCATCCAGCCCTTGCTGCGCTCATCATGATGCAAAGGAACGCACGGAGCCTTTGAGGGTGCTCCCAGAGCATGCACACATTGGGCAAAAGCTTCAGGGGAAAAAAGGGGGAGGGAAAGGGCATCGGCAGCTCTTCACTCCTATGAATCTAACATTGTCAAAGTTCCTTTTGGTTTTGGAGTTCTGCCACACTATTGTTTTCGCATCATGCTTACAGGTTGCCTGTTACTTCTAATTTCATTGTCATCATTGCAGACAATGATAATTGGCATTTCCACAACCATTACAATTATATGTTCACCTATTCACGATGCATTGTTCAGCGTTGTGCTCACAAATACAAGGACGCAATGCACACACCTCTGATGCACTCGCTGTACCCTTGTTGACAAGGATTGCCATGGGTGTCGTGGAATCCAAGGCAACGCCATCGACTGAGTATATGTCCCTCACGCCATCGCTGTCAGAAATCAGCACTATGTCTCCCTCGTCCACCAGCATCTTTGCAACTTCAACGCCTGCCCGACGCGTTCACAGCACAGCAGGGACCTTGGTGCTTCATGCATGGACGCTATCTGCCCCTATGTTGAAGATAGACTGCTAGACAAAAACCTGTCTTCACGTATTGACCACAGCACATGCAGCCAATGCTGTGCATCAGATCAAGCGACCAGCTCAGGTACCGCCACTGTTGACAGGCAGCTGGAAGGTGGACAATACAGGAAGGGATCGGCCACTGACCAAATCGAAAAAATCGAAACTCATAGCAATGCGCACTGCTGAGCTTGTGCACACAAACTCCTAGCACTGGGCCCAATCAGTGGATGTGATTCTACTGATGGACTTGTTTGAAGACGGGCAGTCACAGCACAGTTTCGCCTAAGGAGACAATTGTCATTCAAGGAGCTGCACACTGTGTTGCATGGGCTGCCGTCCCATAGTGAAATTCATCAGCTGGTGATGCGCAGGCCATTTCAGCCTCACCACCAATGCACTTCAGCAAGATGCAATCAAAGAACGTGGTGCGGGTGCCAATCACCACCAAACCTTAACCAGGACTCACCTGCTGCGAATGAACCGCCCCCATTGTTGCGAATGTCAATCAGAAGCTGCTGGGCGCCCTGGGCCTGGACGTGCCAAACAGGTTACTCCTTCAGGCAACAGAGCTGCAAGTGCAACACAACCGCAATGCACACAGCGTTATGCTCACCCACACCCACGCGAAAGTGACCAAAACGAAGACAGGATGATGATTGGGAGCAACTGGGGAACGAGCTTATTAAGTTCATTATCGAAAAAATGGCAGAATACTGCCCTAACACTGCACTGCGATGACATGTTGAAGATAGCCAAACTGAAAACTCATGGATGATGGAGTAGGCTGTCATTTGACCAGTATGAAGAACAGGAGACAGGACGGATGAGCAGCAGCTTCCCAGCCATGGCAACGAATGTCTTGCATTCGTTGAGCTGACAACCTATGGATCTGTGACCCAGATGCCAATTCCTTGCATTTTCCTTCCCTGCTTGCTTTGGGCCATGAATGGCGGTGCTGAAGGCATCCTGAAGCAACTGGCTGTGTAGGGTTAAATGGAGATGAAGAGTCCATATTTGCATAACTACACCTCTGTCTGAAAACATTTCTTGTGCATCCACAACGGAGCTGTCAGAAAAGGAGTTCACAACCTTTCCCACACTTCCTATGCCCAGTGCCACCTGCCCAGACGGAAGGCACCTTGATGACCTCCAGTTGGGGTTCATGCCCAGGCAAGCAGACAATGACACATACATTTGCTGGAGACATTTTTGCTCTTGCGCCATGGATACTGGCATCAAGCTTCCACCCTGAACACAGGCACATTTAGCTTGCACCACGTCGTTTGCTTTGCTGCTTCGCAGCTCAAAGGAAACTACTTCGCCAAAAGTACCTTGAGCTCGCTCAAAGCTCTCTTCACATCCAGGGGTGTCTGCTCACTGAACCTGGCAATCGACAAATATCCGACTGGACCGTTGGCACCAACTTTGTCGCTCACAGATCTGCAAATCTTTATGGCCACTGGATTGAACAGGACCTTTTCCCTGGTAAACAGATGAAGGGAGCGATGAAAGTTAAATGAAGGAAATCACCATTGACAACAAATCAAAGAAGTTCACCATCAGGTTCTGCAGCTACAGACTGGAGACAAACAGCATACAGCCATGGAGGAGCCATGATGGAGGAAAACAGATGCCATGACAAATTGTACAGGTGGACCATGTGACCACCCCGTGTGAGGCAGTCTGCATAACTGCCAAAAGTGTGGTACCCATAGTCACGCCTGTTGGAGACTGTTACCAGGCATTGCATGCATAGCACTCTGTTGCACTAACATGAAACAGAGGAGTGGAAACTACCAGTCAAATGCCAGTCCAACAATGCTTGCATCAACACCTTTAACACACATAGCACCCGCTCATTCATACAGGACAACACTGTTAATACAAGCTTCATCATTTTGCCCACATTCTGCAACATTGTTCGCAGGAAAGCAATCACAGCTTTGGGACTTGTTTGCCAATGCCTTGAAGCTGTAAATCCCATCATCTTGCAAATTTGGCAGGTGCAGTCTAATAAAGACAACTGAGCAACAAACTGTTTGCAACAGGTAAAGCATCTGATTCAACAAACCTGACCACAGCGATTTCCTTTGTCCTTCCTCCACTGGTCTTTAAAGTCAACACAACCTGACGGCAAGGGACAGCAACGATCATGGGAGGAAAATCTGAAAACGCTGCAAAGGTCCCTTTGGGCATTTTTCAATCTGCACCAATGCATTATCAATGCAGTGAATAATAGAAGATAAAAATATCACAGGTGCAATATGTTGCATATGCTTGGGTTTGGGTCCATAGTTTTCCACTTTTTTTCATACCATCTAATTTTCTGTACCTGTCTCCTTTGATGTTGTATGTCATTCCTGTGCTGTATTTCCTTAATTACTTTAGGACTCAAGAGTATGCAACCCTTGCCAGAGCAACAGGTATCCGTGTATCCATGTCCACACCTTTGTTCCTTCCTCCCCTTGCAGCCTCACACCTGCTTCGTACAATGACAATCCCACAGTTGGGGAGCCATCAATCGCAACTAGGAGGTCCCCGGTGGAAACACCAGCTCGATCAGCAGGGCCATCTGGCACAGGTGAAATGATGACCTGCACGCAGCCAACGAGCCAGTTGAAAAGTCAGTCGAAGAGCCAAGCTGAGCCAATCACTTACGGAGGGGTGGAAACAATGATTGCGATTTGGATCAACAGTGACAATCATAGTGTGCAACGTGGCAAGTCCATTGTGTTCTTATCTTCCAGCAAAAGCTGCCAAAGGATGTGACATCACAATGAACCTCGACTGGGTCATTGGTGGTTACAGCCCACCAGCAGGCCATTTTGTACAGTGCTGTGCCATTCAGAACCATCGCAATGTCCTTCAGTATACTGTGTTAATGGTAGAAAATGTCCATCAATCTGTTGCAGAAAATACTTATTTTTAACACACAAATGCCAGCATCACTCAATCGAGCAGTGTCTCACAGATCACATATGTGATAAATCAGCCAGAGTGCTGGGCAGAAGCAGCATTGATCAGTACATGGCATTGACACAGCATTAGTACAGCAATGATTAATACACAACCAGATCTTGACACTCGGCTCTTGGTCTCCTGTGGTAAGTTGCCTTCAAAATAATGCCTTGCTGCAAACTGGTTCTTTGTACAACAATCAAATGCTATCCTCAGGTCCTTCCCTACTCATGGCCTCCCGTACCATAGGCGGTGGCTCACCACTTGTGGACATGTTGTACCCGACTTCAATGCCCACACCAGTCACCGCACCTTAAGAGATGAATCACGCATCAACACAATGCATGCTTCAGTGCAGACTCACAGACAATGTTCAAGACAGATGAATGATGAAAGGGCAAATGGCAACACACACTGACACAAGAGAGAAAAAAACTTCGATAATGGAGGAGCACTCTTAGCATGACAAGTTCTTGTTCCAGTTCGTTTCTGAGGGTCAACAAACACCTTTCCATCACAGTCTAGTGGCACATGTGAACAACCAACTATTAGGAATAGACCTTGCACACGTGAGCAGCGTTGTCTTCACCAATTACATGCATAGGCAGTGCTCTGTTATCACTTCGACAAATTCAGATATTGCATATATCCACACCTTTTTCGCTCCCAGTCACAATCCCATACTGTGCTGGCTCAAAGAACCTTGTAAAGGGGTCACCCAGGGAGAGCAAGATCTTTCGGATGGCTTCATATGTCTCCTGACGAGTAGCCATTGGATAATTCTTGAGGGCTGCCTCTCTGACCTTCAATTCACAGGATGTTGAGTCAGCCCTCCATCACTGCATGCATTGTTCTGGACTAGTGCGAACTGATGGGCCCAACAGCCCATCAGGCAGTTGCTGATGTGTTAGGTTGTTGTGTATGATGTAATGACAGTGAATGCAGCGCACTCCATTCACTTGTGGGCCAGGTCCTATGGGTGACCAAAGCAAAGCATGTCACTGGTGCACTCCTAATGGAAATTGATACCAAAGTTGCAAAAGCCTTCCTCTAGCTTTTCTGCAAAGCAGCTGAATGGTTGTCCACTGTAGCTGTACCAGCTAACCAATGCTGTGCTCAGCAAACAGACACACATGCACACGCAGGGTCACATTGCGAGCGGGATGCTTGTGACCTGTCAGGTGAATTTTACATGGTGCTGCTGGGTCAATGAGAACAGCCATGGGGGGAAACAGGCATGGGAGAAATTTGACTGTGTTGTGTTGCATCTTTCTCAGAAAGGAGAGCACAGAATAAAACAAGGAAAATGTACAGCATACAGCGCAAGTTAGTGCTCCTGCGCCCATCCCATCATGAAGCGATATTCGGCCAAGCAGGATTGACAGCATGAAGGTGCACCATGATTCTGCACTGGCAATCCTAGCAATCGTCTTGAGGAGTCCAATAGCACAATGATTGTGGCAGGTGCACTACCTTCAGCCAAGTCTGGTTGTTGAATGTCTTGTCAACATAGGCACGATCCACTGCTCGCCATGCCTGTTGAAAGAACACAAAGAAATGGTTCATCAGAATGCAGAGGGTTAGCATTTGGCATGATGATGCGGCACTGACAGCACCAAGGGGAAGGCATGATAGCCAATTATGGAGTCGTTTTAGTTCTCATGCTCGTCTCTCTGGTGATGAGTATATTGCAATTCTATCTGGTTCTGGATCAATCCTAGGTCTAATTCTCTTGTTTTAGTGCATCAGTTCTGGAGGAGCCCACTTCCAGAATTTTTACAATTCCTTGTTTGACACCTGCCTTCCAGCTGAAGAGAACAGTGCAATGGACAGACAGAGGCCACCATGTGAACTGACAGGGCCACATTTGACTGAACGATGCTTTGATCATCGCCTTGGCGATACCAAGTTTCCAAAAGAAGCCTGTGCAGGCATTGTTTTTCATTAATGTGACAACATGCTTTGGGTACACTTGCAAGCACATCACACAATGCCCATAGGTGTATGTGCACTTGGAGACACTCTGGCATCTGGCACGTGGGTTGCTGTTGAGCTTACCAGATTACATTAATAACTTGTTGTCTCCTGAAAGTGTGGGGACAACGTTCTGCCCAGTTTCAACCCATGAGCTCACAGGCCAATTGCTTGTAAACAAGGTGACTACAGTAGGACACTGTCCGCCCTGTGTGGATGGATTCAAATACCAAAAGACAGAAGCTGCAAATCTCGTTGGTGGGTGGTGGATGGAGGGGACCATTTGCCGGGCAATGACCTTGCAACAAACATTACTCCATGGCCTAATGTGTCAATTGTGGACAGATGGCCCAGAGTGAGTTCAACACACAGTTGTTGGTTGGCAATATACTTGGAGCAAAACAAACTGGTAGCAGTGGTCATTCAACCACAAATTTATTCATTCCCAACTTTTGCTGCTCATAAAACTGGCCAACGTGAACACAACACATCTGCATTTCCAATGCAAGCATGCTCCTCACTTCTATAAAAAGCAGCTGTTCATTAGTAATTGGCAGGGCTGCTCCTGCAATACATAAGGTAGCCGCCGCCGTTGCACCAAATATTCCAATCTGACACAGGCACACAACCACAACCACATGTTAACGCCTGGCACTCCATCATCCAAAGCCTCATGCATGCCATTGGTAATGTTCAACCGCATGACATCGTACATGGTGCCCTACAAGGCCATTTGAATGAACTGAAAACCACCTTCGAACAAGGGCAGAAATACAGCGCATAGCAGAGCCTGGTGCCGGGTGTGCCCGTAATTCTGTTTCCAGCAAACACAATATCGTTGATCTTCAGAACATCCTAATGACAAAGGTAGAAGATTCATCAGCGAAAAGTCATCAACACAATCTAATGGAGCAGCCAATCAGGTCCTCCCATGGCAGTCTGACGTCCAGCATTCCCATGACCATTGAACCCCCTCCTATGGTCCACTGGGCAAGCTGTATGCAGATCACCGACAACCTCTGGATTGACACGTCCACTCTCAGCCAACGCGCACACACCATGCACGCTGAAAATAGCCATGACTGTGAACACGTGACAGTTCGCCCTTCCCCACAAATGCAACGGTTCCAGAGATCCAATCTGCAGACCTTGTGCAGAAACGGGTAGTCCTGGTGTGAGCTTCCGCCTCGGAAGGCTGCGCAAGATTGATTCCGCGGCGCTGTCGGCTCTTCCGAGTCCCGCGCCTGCTTGGCAGCGAGGATGGATCCATTCAACCGTCCCTTTGATCCCCTCAACGTCCGCCAGGGCAGAAATTCGCCCAGTCGGCTGTTATCGCATGATCGACGCGAACAGAATCGTGCGTCAAGCGTCTCTCCTCGAGCACCTAGCTGGGTGGCGGGCGCCCATGGCATCGTGGACGGAACGTCCCCCGGTGGCCCGCCAGCTATTCCGGTGTGGTCTGCGCAGGACGGCAGGATGAAGGTGCATCACGGAGTCGAAACGCGTTTTTTTGGTGCCGTTTTCGACGGAAATGTGACAAGGACGAGCTCAAAAATCCGGCCAGACAAGCGCGCGAGCGGACTCTCGCCCATTTGCATCCCCAAGTCGTGTCGGGGACACGGAGCGTCAGGTTGCGCTCTGCTTTCCGGCCGCCTCACCGCCGCCCACCCTCCCAAACGAAGTCATCCAGCAATGGAAGAGTACGGAGACGAGTAAGCCCATCCTCCGAGACTTTTTGCGGGTCCCGTGCGGGTGCACCCTCGGTTTTTTGCTGGAGGCTGAAGGCCGCTTTGTTGGCGCTGAACAGTTTTGAGGAGGATGTTGAGGAACCAGAAGTCGCAGATGAGGTGAGACACCAGTTTGCTGTTTCGGCACTGCCGCTCTCGTTTCCGCCCTTGTCGCGGTTTTAGCTTTGCGCCCGCCGTTGGGACGCTTCTTCGCCATGCTAAGTTTCTGGCTAATGCGGCGAGTGTCTGGCGCATGGTTTTTGCATGCCAGTGTCCATCGGTGAAAAGAATCTCGAAGATTTCTCGAAGATTTGGAAGGTGGAGAACATTGTATGACTGGCTTCCAGACGGAAAGCAGATGACATAGCGATCCCCCAGGGCACTGGGAACAGCACGCACCACTGCTGCAGAAGAAAGGACTTGCGGGTGGAGAAATTTGGAATTGCAGCGAGCATTTTGAAATGCTGTCCCATCTTTTCTTTGATGCACCCGGTAACTTTTGTGTCATTTTGCAGTGCAGAAACAAGCCCCGATGTCTTGCCTCGAGGGAATGCGCAGTGCATTTTTGCATCTCTTCTCCTCTGCTTGCAAGTCTATGCTGCTGTTCAAGCCTTTATTCACAAAAGTTCCAATCTGGAACCAAAACACTTGGGGAACTTCTCCCCGTGGAGGTGTTGCAGGGTCCCTCGAGACTCAGCACAGCCTAACAGAAAGGGGAAAAGAAAAATGCCAAGTTTTCATTGCCATGACCGTTGCGATCCCTCTGTGCAAATTTCGGCACGATTTGGAAGCCTGTGTTGCTTTGCAACTCTTGCTGTGTGCTGCAAGCAGGCAGGTGAAGGGGTTAGGGAAGATGCAGAAATGGGCGGTGATGGTGAGGATGGCAACAAGGCACCATCGGATCCACCAGCCAGTCCAAGGACAGAGATCATAATGGACACCCCACAGCCGGCAGAGGGGCCGAGGATGACCACACGCTACATGACCAAATATGAGAGGGCACGAGTGCTTGGAACACGAGCGTTGCAGATCAGGTGATAGATTGAAGGCGCCAGTGCCCCTTGCAAACTGAACTAGCAGTGATGCTTGACTCGTAAATCGTGCCTGCAAAGGACAAGAATGAGACAAGAGGGAAAAATGAAAGAAACAGAGCTTTCGTGGTTTCGTGATCCATGCAGAAAAGCGTGCATCTGTGTGAAGAGATGCACTTGGAGCATGGCCGTGGGCCATGTACCAATACACGACCCCTCTGGCTTGCTGGTCTGTAAATTTGTTGTCATGTGTCTGTGTGCTAACACATGGCGATGTCATAGCACTGTGTGGCACAATTGTTGATTCACAGGTGCATTGTCTGCAATTCCCACCTGGGCTGGAGGGTGTGCAACACTGCAATCTAGCAGCAGGGACACTGGCTTTGCCCCTGTCTGTTTCTTGGATTACATTCATCGACAGGGTGTGGCAAACAAAGCCCTTGCAATGGAATTCATTGATACCTGCAATCACATCCAGCCAATGTCTGCTTGGTGTCCCATGAATGCAGCTCCACACACTGCCTTTTTGCACAACACATGTTTGGCCGGTGGAGGTTAATGGAACTCGAAATGAGCTCAACTGGGAGCTATCCAAGATAGCTGTCTCCCTCATGCACCCAACCACCCACTTCATCTCCACCCAGGCCCTGTGTTGTGCATTAAGAAGCTAATGACTATAGTAAACTGTCGGCAGTGATGGCATCGTGTCCCATGCCAGTAGATACGCCAAAATTGCTTGCCTGTGGAGGTGGTTGGCCTGCACTTTCTGGCACAACCTGACAGGTGTGTGTTGGTCAACAGCATGAATGCCCCAGTGCTGGTGGAACTCGATGGAGAAACAGATCCGCTTGAGGTAAGATCCCTGCACCACAGCCACTGCAGTTAACTGACAAGAATAGTGTGCCAGCGATGACGACATTGGGAACAGGACTGTGCGTTCCTCATTCTCTTGTTTGTGTCATACAGAGCGTTCTGTTCTTCAACTGATGCGAGTGTCATAGCAGAGACCTGATTTTATGCATCTGTTGGTGCCATGGTCGCCATGAATGTCAGCGCTAACAGGTGGCAATGTGGCGTGCAGATTGCCTTGAAGGAACTTAAGGCTAAAAAGATGCCCTTCACCATTCGCAGATACCTGCCCAATGGAAGGTGTGTGCTTGTTGATCAGATTACATGGAGGTGCAGCACTGAATAGCATTGGTTTGCCACCTGTGCTAGTAGAGCTTCGATCTGTTCCAGCCTGGAGTTGAATTTCACAATCTGGTCAGCGCTGTCCCCTAAAGGGGATGAGTGGACCATTGCAGTTAGTGTGACATCTTCCACCCAAGACATGCGCTGCTGTTGTTTTGTCATGGAACGATTCTCAACTCGATGCTGCTGCAAGCTGCCCATTGCCTTCTCCACCACCTTGTGGGATGTGTCCAAACTTATCTATCCAGGCCAACCCCAGAATAGTCACTGACTGTCACTGCGCAAGTTCTTTATTGGCATTTGTCGATTCTGGCACTGCTTAGACCCTGTTATGAGCTTAGCAGCTGTGTGTACTGTCGCAGTGTATGGTCCCAAATTCCTTGTATCGACTTCAGCATTCGAAAAGTTGCAGCATGAAATGCTGTCACAAGTGTATGCAAGGATGCTAGTGGTATCGATCTACTGCACTATAATGATGCTCACTCAATCCAGAGCTTCTATGGATTCAGCTGTGAGCAAGGGCTACATGGGCAGACATGTCCATGCTGAAGACGGAAAAGCCTGCACTCTCACATTCTTAACTGACAGTGACATAAACCTGAAAAACTGGGCCCTTAGAGCTAAGTTTGGGCTGCTGTACAGCATCCTTGGGTCACAAGGAGCAACTTGCCTCCTTCTCGTCATAGGTGCAACATCAATGTGTCTGGAGCTCATTGTCTGTGCAAGATAACACGCACTTGCAAAAAGCACAGAAGAGCTATTTATTACACAGCATTTCTGGATCAGGAATTTTTGCCTGAGGGAAGCAATCTTTAACACGATGCTCCCACAACTATGCCTTGGACTTGCAAACACTAGGGATTGCAACACTACCTGCTGTGGTCAACTTTTGTTGGCTGCATTGCATGCCACGCCACAAAATGGCTCTGTGTGTCTTCTGATCAGAGATGTTGTGTGTATCCTGATGCTTGCATTGGTTAGCCACAAGAAAAGACATTGTGTTGCCCATTTTGTGTTGCCCAAACGTTCGACAACTGTGTAGTTCAGTGCATCGCTTTTGCATACATTATATCTGCCATTGCGCCCCCACACCACCAGCCCAGAGCAACACCCAGTCTGGAGTCATTCTTCCAGCCATAACGTGTCATCTATGCATCTGTGTGCATGCAGCTATGAAGATTGGGGCGTCGATGAATTGATCGTGACAGAAAGATGACCATCTTCTAGCCAGACATGCCAACAATGTCGTGCTTCCCGGTTTGTAAGTTTGGCCTTCATTATGGCCTGGATATACCCTCTGTGTGCTAGTGGTGCTGGTTTCAACGAACTGCTGGTGGTAACATATGCAGCCACCTTGCTTGCAGAGCAACGGTGCTTGACTGATTCTTTCATCGTGAGTGATTAGTATCTGGTGTAGTGTGGGCTTTTGGCCAGCGAAGATGGCATGTAGAGCATGACTGCCGAACAGGCATTGTAAAGCACGCCATTGACTGCTGGACGCTTTCACTGTCCCCATGACATTCCAACTGTCGACGGCGATTCTGGTTCAGTGCTTCGCAGTTGCGATGTCATACTGCATGGCATGGGGTGCCCACTTCAATTATTTGCAGACCTGAATCTCATCGACCTTTTCACCAAGATGCACAGTGTGTTCCAATGACTGATGGCTGCGCCAGTGGGATAGTGCTTGTCTTAGGCGTCTTGTCGATGTACACTGTACATCACAATCTCACAGCCACGGCCAGACCTCCGCCCTCAAATCCTCAGGGTGGCCATATCCTAAACCTTGCAGAATTCACATAGCTGCGCAAGCAGTCGACCGGCGCTGGCTGACAGCATGCCCAAGAAGTGGTCCAAGCTGCACTGCGTCGCCACCCGCATGCACCTGCAGAACCCTTCGTTGATTTCGTCAACTGTCATCGCTGTGCACGCATTGGCATCGCTCCCCAAAACGCCATCCCCGCCGCTGGCAGTCCCGTCCAGGGACTCATCAATACCCATCCCGCCATTCACACAAGCCCTCCCCGCGGGAGCGTCAGCCCCAGCGGCCCCTGTTGGGGCGCACCAGCTCCGGGTTTGATACCCTCGACGTCCGGCCGCTCCTGCAGCCGATGAGCGGCAGGGGCGTGGTGGTCTGCGCCCGTTTCCTCACCAAAGCGCGGTGGCCCTGTTTGTCCCCGCCCCGCTTGGCAGGCAACGCCGCGCCCCTCTGGTGGAGGGGCTCGCCGCTGGGCCCCGCCCCCGCGCAACCGGCCGACTCCCTTGGCGCCCCCTTTGGCATCATCGGTAGAGCGACCCGCGGACAGCCGGCTGCGAAATTGGCCCGTGACCTGGGGCCTGCGGCAGCTCGCAGCTCCCGCAGGGGGCACCGCCCTCCCCTGCACCCCGAATTGCCACCGGCCAAGCCCTCCGGGCTCGGATCAAGAAAGTTTTGATCCCTGTGGGGCGCGGCGCGGGGCGCCTTGTCCGCACGATGGGAATGCTCCCGGCCCTCTGTGTGCGTGTGCCCGTGCTGCGCGGGCTGGATGCCCGGCAGGGAACCTGCGGGGATGGGCGTGGGGGTCTGACACTGATGCGGGTCGAAAGGCTGCATGTTTTCGTTCTCGTCGTTTTCGCGCCGACCGGGCCCATGGGCGCGCCTCTTGAAAGACTTCCTTGGCGTCGGTAGCAGCATGCCTGTTTGTGGCAGCCCAATGTCGGCAAATCGAAGGGTTGGAGATGGACTGAAGATCAAATGTATACATGAAAATGCAGTTAGGTAACTGCATTTTCGGGCGAATTCTCCGCCGGTTCACACTTTGCTTCCAAGCACGCAAACAGGCGACTGCCCATGCGCGGTCTCTTGGGCCCGCAAGGAACCTTCCTGACCGCGCGGTACCATCTGTTGGGCGCCCATGCAGCTTCTAATTTGACAGAAAGGATGTACAGTTTTTCCGTCAAATTTTCAATCACCAGGGCGTGGTAAAGGACTTTGTTTCGATCAGCAATTGTTGTCAGAGGAGTTCAAAATGCAATGACAAAAGTACACGATGGGTGCACCTTTCAGCACTTAGCCAACCTGTTAGGCCTTCCACTTCTCGTGCCCTCCTCGCGAGTCGCTGCTTCACCCTTTCCGCCATTTCTCTGTGAACCGGTGTCATGAACAGGCTCAGCAAGGGACTGGGGATGTATCGTGCCGAACGTGCTGGCGGTCTGACTCAACGGCGGCGTGTTCACGGGATTCCATTCAACGACGCGAGCACCAAACTCTGTGGTGTCATAGTTGGCTGTATACAACAACAATGCACTATGACCACTGTTATGCTGCTGCTGCTGCGGCTGGGACAACTGATGTGCAACCAGTGCAATTGAGGTGATGGGCTGCTGAAAGGAACGAAGAAATGATCGCGCAACTGCAGGAGCTGGTAGACAATTCCTCGTACAGAAACGCATCTTGAAATTACAGTTCTTGATTGTCTGCAAGACACAGCTGCACAGCGCCATAGATCTGTTAAGGCCACCGCTGGCTGAACTAGCTGCAGTGAATGCGCCGTCAAGAGCGCGTCTTCCATCGAGTTGTGACAGGCTCATTGCGCTTTCCGGATCACGCGCCTGTGGCTGTCTCTGGTGTCGCCCCCGACGTCAGATGTAGTCTGTCCTCCACGCCGAGCAGAACACCAACAGAGTTCAGCTGTGGCGCCTGTGAGCCAAACGTCATGGGCGAACTGCAACATTTGCGGCAAATTCGATCCCGCCAAAAGTGCTTGATTCACGCATCCGTGATTCCGCATGCGTTCACACTCAAATTGATTCTCAACCTTGCTGCGCGCCAGGGACGCCTTGCCGGGAAGTGCTCTCCATTGGCGTTACCTGGATTTCTTGCCTCCTAGATGCCCGACGCGAGGGAGTTATGTGGCCAAGCGATGGACTCTTGGCGGCGGCGGCGGCGGCGGCGACGGCAACCGCCAGCAGCTTTGGAGGACTGGACAGACGTGCCATCAAGCCTCCCTGCTTCAACTGGCAGAGCGACATCCTCCTACGGGCCATTCTTGAGACGTTCTCCCTGTGACGTGGCATGCAGGCCTCGGCTTTGGAATCAGTCAGTGCACTCCATGGTGATGCGCACATCAGTAGCGAGAGCGCCTGCTCGGTGTGAATTGGCTTGACAAACAATCAGTTGGCACCATGATTGAACGTCGCTGAAAATATGCACATATATGTTCTGCCCAAGATCATGTCCATACGGTACATGTCGTTCATACATATATGTGCCGAGTATTGCATACTGGACATATCTGTTAGCACGATACGTCGACACGAATCGACTAGATGTCGGTAGCCAAGCCGCTAACTAACCCCATTCTGTCAACCAGCAGCCAAAAAACCCGTTCCGTAAGCTGCCGACAAAGCTAGACAGCGCTTAACTGTCGGAGGTCTTTCACCCAAACGCGTGCCTGACACTGCGCACTTCAGACTGGTTTTGTGTAAATGGCACATGATCGTGTGGTCCCAACTACGGCCGCGGCCCGGCTTTTTATTAGACAAACACGCTCAGCAAAAATAACGCTATTTAAGGCTAAAAATAAATAAATAAATAAATGGGCTAGCCTATTTTTGGGGCCATTTTCCGCCGGCGGCCACGCCGCCGACGGCAATCTGCGCGCGTGGTCCCTTGCCGGCGAATGTCGGCAGTTCGGCCCGCTCGAGCACCTTGCCATGCGGGCTTCGCTGCGCTTTATCATGTCGCGTCGGAAATTGGTGTCAGTCATGACTCCCTTTATCGTCTTTCGCCTCCTGTACGCCGTGGCAAGAAGGTGCAGCGGTACGTCCGCCCCACCTGTCCTCAGGCCCTCCCCCGCCGGGCCCTCGCCTTTCATGGCCGACGTCATCAGCTGTAGGAACTCCACGTACTCCACGGTGCCGTTGCCGTCCTGCCAGAGGCGCGAAGCATCGCGATGGGCGCAGCTCCCCTTTGGTTATGTCATCAATGCGTGCGATGTTACGTCATCATCATCATATCATTATTATACCATCATGGCACGTCATTGCTATTACACCGTGTCATCATTATGTCATCTGATTGCTGTCGGGGAACTCCCTGCACTGGTATGCAGCCGGTAGGAATGAGAACGCATATACGTCTCTTTCCCGTTCATGCGCCGTCCACGCCGACAGCAAAACTTCAATGACAATACTCTTGCTAATACATTGGCAATGCCCCCATCCGCACCAGTAAAGGTTAATACTTTGGAATTGCCCAAATTTCTGAGATTCACATTCTCGACCAAACTAGAGACAGTGTAAGCCAGTGCTTCGCGACCTGTGGCGCTGCCACGTCCCCCCCCCCCCCTTGTATTTAATTCCTATTGGCACATTGCTGCTGAGAAAGAACAGGCACCACATCCGTCCCAATAGATACCACCACGTTGTGTCCAAGGGGAGTCCTGGGAGGGTGGAATCCCGCTGCTTCCAATATGTCCGCCCGATATCATTCACACACCACTGCCCGTTCTGGATTTCAAACCTCCCGCACAGATCTAGAATGAATTTGGCACCAGACCTCCTGGGCACTGAGATCCACAAATTGCGACATTGCGACTTGAGGCTCACAATATCCAAAACTGCGCCCAAAGGGCTTTATTTGCAGCCCAGGAAGTCTTCCAAGAAGTGCCAAATTGCTCCCAGCAGCTGATGATTTCGGGAGCGCCAAGGCCCAGGTCCACCGCCGATTCGTGCATGGGACGCGCAATCAACACCAGCACGAAGCACCACGGGATCTGCAGGCTGCACCACCTCATCCAACTCGAGACACCTCCACATACCATTCTGTGGTTGAATATCTCCGGAATTCCTCCGCGCTCCCTTGGCCAAAAGCGGCAGGAAGATGGTCAAAACCAGGCCGGTTGGGCGCACCTGCGGCAACCAATCACTACCCACCACACCGGTGTCCAACCTTTACCTTCATTCCTGAAGATGCGGCCAAGAAGCTTCTTTGTTCTTACTGAGAACGCCCAACCGCTAGAAGACTGTAAAACCCAGCCAGCGCACCGTCGCCACGTCCGTTCCCCGGCCCACGGCGCTTGATCCCAACCCCTTTCTCGACGCTCTTTCCTCCAGAAGAAGAAACACAGGAACCGCAGATCCCACTGGGCACCGCGTTTCCCCTCCTCCTCCCCCTCCCCCTCACCTGGTCCCCCGCCCCCATCAGCTGGCTCAGGCGCGCCCTGGAGATGTCCACGTTGAGCGCGCTGAACGCCTCGTGCAGCTCCGCCCTGTCGATCGACCCACTGCCGTCGGCGTCGATCATGTCGAAGCACTCCCGCAGCGTGGCCTTCAGCTCGGCGCTGACCTCCGCCCGCACTATCTTCCCGCGCTTCTCCAGCCAGCTGATGATCGATGCAGCTACACTGGGCGGCATGCCGCCGGCGTCGGCCGCCGGGCCTCGACCGGGCCCCCTGGGCGCCATCTCGATTCGGCGCTTCCGATCTCCACCCCGGGCGCACGGGCGAATGTCGCCAATCGGTGGTGCCCAATATTGGTTCGGATGATGGCGATGGGTGGCCCGTTGGCCTGGGGAAAAGTCTGAGCCAGCGTGCCGTTGGTTTGCGTAGTTCAAAGGTCGGGGAGAGTAAAGGACGGGGCGTCAGTGGGTGGGGTCGCGACGCCGAAGGGGGGTGTCTATGTTTGGGGCTGGGCGCCGCGGGGCTGGTGTCCGGTGCGCATCTGCGGTGGCGAGGGTTGACTGATGGTTGACCGACGGCGGCGAGAGCTCTCACGGACGCTTCTGGCCGGCGGGCCCCTTGGAGCGAATGACGAGTCTGGGGAGATTGGTCTGTACTGGCAGTGTTTGTCGATCAAATGATTGGAGTGTACATGGAGATGCATGATGATGATCATCATCATTTTTTGCAGAATAAGGTGCATGAACACATATGCAGAGTGGTCCGACAAGACTTGACAACTATTAATGAGACTATTGCAAAGGACGGCGGTCCATTCTGGCTGTCATCCCTGGAGATAGCGCAGTCTAATCACCCCTGAACGAGCAGCTGAGCCACGTTGACGCCCCCACCACCACGTTTGTTGAGGGTGCACTCAACGAACAAATTTTGCCCCTCACGTGAACCGCTCTTCATGATCATCACTATTTTTTACAGAACAAGGCAATGATGTAGCCGTCAGCTTCCTATTTTGCCTGAGCAAAGCAGAGTCGGTGATTGGTTCATTGAAATCTAATGAGAAATACAAACTAAATGTATGATTCTATGAACCCTCGATGCCTAGAAACGATAATCGAAGGGAATACATCAAACGAAGTGTTTTTGTGAGCGGGCAAGCTGGAACTGAAGCAAAAAGTACTTTCGCATTGCGACATCAAAAAATACAAGAGTGGCTTCGACAGATGTTGTCGTAGGCTTTGCAGTGGAAGAGAAAATGGATTTTGTCTTCAGGAGCCAAGTGGCATAAAAGACACAATCGCCTTGAAAATCGGCTCTTCACGAAGAACTGCTTGCCGCAATGATGTCAACGACCCAACATAGCAGCGACAGCAAGGGAAGCTTCAGACGAGCGACAAACATCCAATTGAACATCAAGCGTGGAACCTCTCACAACTGTCCCCCAGAGGGCCACAACCAGTCGCAGCCACTCTCCAACTTCAGCGAGGTCAGGGCATAGGTCAGCTCCACGGGTCGAGACAGCCTTGTTCATAGCGTAGTGATACAATACTCAAAAATATTTCTTTCCGCATAACGAGGCTGTGCAGTAATGAAGGTTGGTCACTTTTAACCAACAACATGACTGTGCTGGCAGTGCTGGTCTTGAACAGTAAAGAAAGCGGCTTAGAAAGGCACAGACTGGCCGCGACCTTCGAAAAGGTCGAGCGCTATTGCGCTCAGGCCGTGGCGAATGTTGCTCACACGGCCAGGGGAGTCAGGCGGCCAGGCTGAGTGCCTAGACCGCCGCAAGAGGCACACGCGAACGCTGGGCAACCGTTCTTATAACTGCCAGGCCGAGTGGAACAATACGGGGTTCCTCTCAGCGTTTGCCACGCCCCCAATACTTGTAACCCCCCAAGCTCCGGCAAATAACCCCCATTCCTAAGAGATGCTCTTTTGATATTCAGAATCTTTCTGCCATACCTGCCGTTTCATCATCATCATGATTTTTTATAGAACAAGGCAATGAGGTAGCCGTCAGCTTCCTGTTTTGCCTGAGCAAAGCAGAGTCGGTGATTGGTTCATTGAAATCTTATGAGAAATGCAAACTAAATCTATGATCCCTGCCGTTCACCGCAACTCAACCCGGTACGCCCCCCTGCCCATAATCAGCCACCATGTAATGCCCCAAAGGCCACATTCCCATCAAATAGCCGCACTTCCCTCGGTCAGCAACCACATAATGGCCCATGAGGCATATTCCCATCAAATAACTGCGTGGCGCCTCCACACACCTCTCCTGGCTCCGTCTCACTGAGGTCCATGGCAGACCACCAGGCGGGCAGGCCCTAAGCAAACGCATGCGTCCAATGGCAACCTGGGTGCTCCTTAGTACTCCTAGGCGTTTTGGGGGCGTGTCTGACTCGTGAAGTTGCCATGGTCTATCTTTGTCATCGAAGTCATCTCCCTGCGTTATGAGTGCCTTGAGCTCACAATACTAGAAAATTATGTACACGACTGGCTGATGACTTGGGGGTTTCCCATCTCAGTGAGCGCCAACTTGCTTGGTGATGATCAGTGTGGCGAAGGTGCTGAGGCTGTCGACATCCCCTTTGCACCATATCCAGACCTCACGGGTCGCCAGCTGAGTGATATCGTTAATTTAATAATTTGTGATGAGCCCCATTAATTGGTGACCCGAACACTATTCATATATCTTCATAACTAATAGGAAGCTCAAGGCTACCTGCTTGCCTTGATATGTATATGCTTCATGTAGGAATGAATGATTGGAGTGAATAATTGGACACTGAACGGCGAATCGTGGACAGTGCTGACCTCCAGAACGGCAGGGAGCTGGTGACTGAATCCGTGCTTGGATACGTAGTAACTCTTGAGGTTTGATTGGAGTGAGTCTCAATGGAAACAACTGAAGGGTTCAGATTCAATTCGTCCACAAAGTTCTCTGACTTTCTGGTTCATCTCCGTGTGGGGAACCAATGCGTCGGGATCCAAGTCATAATGTGCTTAATTTACTACCAGAACAATCAATTCCCCCTCCCAGTCCTATCTACGCCCAGGGCATCAGCAAACGGAACCCGCTGTTTTCGCCCGCCAACCTCTCCTCTCCCCCCCACCCGGCGGCAAAAGAGCGAGCACACCTTCAGCAGCAGTCCCATGCACTGCCTTGTTCGGCTCGAACATGTGTCTTTTACGCGCACTCGCGGGACTCCCAGCGTTTCTACAGGCCAAAGAATCGACACTTGCAACAACAAGGCGTGCTGGCTGGAAATGGACACAGTCACCGCAGCGACCACGGCGACGACCATAGTCAAACCGTCATCCACCCTCTCCATCCCGCCAACCCCAAGTCAGTTGAAAACCAGACATCTCTCGATGGCGGCCCGATCAAATCGAAAATTCAGCAGCACGCCGGGACCGGACGGCGCCATCTGCCGCAGTTGCTGCACGACCGGCTGATGGCTGGCTGGCTGCGGGGCGATCAGCCGATGGGTTGACGACCGCTGGGTCAGTGGCTGTTGACCAGAGGCCCGTTGTTCCAGAGGCTGCTGGGCGTCAGGCTGGCGCACGGCGGCGCGTGGGGGCGATGGCTTGGGGTGGCCTGGCCGGGTGGCCACGCGCAAGGCTGGCTGGCGCTGGGGCTGGCCCACGCGGTTCTTGTGGGTCGCAATCCATTCGTGGAGCCTCTCGACAAAGGGGTGCACCTGCGGGACACAAAACACTGCAGACCGGTCAGACCGGTCTGTTTTTGTGGGTCCAATTTGAGAAGTTTGCGTGAATTGTTGTTGAAAGTGTCCGCTCCAACAAACCCACCCATGCGCACAGACATCTACCAATCGAGACAAGTCCATGTTTAATGTCGAATAAGCTAGCACTTGATTTTCAACACTTCAGTGTTCGACGGACCATGTCGCATGATTGCATCCACAAGCGTCCGAACCACGGGAGCGCTGACACATTATGCATGCATTGTGCTTCGCTTCAGTACAGTCCACACGCTTACCATGTAGAACCTGTGCGATTCGCCCTCTGTGTTCTGGTAGATCTTGTGCGAGTCCTGCTTGGAGGAAGGCAGGTCGGACAGCTGGTACCAAGCAATGGCGCCTATTTCCTGCAAAGCGGTAAACCGGATATTTTCTCAGAACTACAGGAGGTATCCAAGCATGGCACAAAATCTCAACCTCGAACACCGAGGCAGTGGACCAGCAAGTATGCCACAAGGCAGTGAAGACACTCATGTCAGCCTACACGCCCAACCGCAAGCTTGGTTGCGGTACACAGCTGGCCACAGGCCAGACATGTAGCATGAAAGTGGCAAACAGCGTTGTCAACAACGAATTCATGAATCTGCACACCCCTTGGTTCTTTCCTGCACTTCAACACATCTTCACAAATCTGCTTGTTGCACCACAAAATGACGGCACCTGCCCAACACTTCTGCTCCGTACCTTTTGGGCCTGGGGCTGGAAATGCGTCTCTTCCAGGACGTTCGCAACTATGTACAACTTGATCTTCTGAGGGCCTGCAAACACCTCGAGGAAGTCTACAGGGTTGTACATTTCCTTGATATCAAATCCTGTCTCTTCATACACCTGCTTGCACAACGCACACCGATCGTATGAGCCGCACAAGGCACACCGGAGCGCCAACTTAGGCTGCCATCCACAGCAGCGCATCAGCACCATCGCTCGGGTGGGGGGAAAGGAGGCAAGAGGAAAGGAAATGTCACTGCACGATCTGTAGCGAACATGCATGACAACAAATGAATGAACCAAGAGTGCCCATGCAGAATGTTTCCACGTGTTCCACATATGTGTAAGATACACTAGCACTTCAATAGGATGGAGGAAGTATTCAATAGGACTTGTGTGTGTTCTGTTTAATGCACTGATGAGCTGATATTGTCACGTCTGACTTGGTTCATGCGCTGTTCAATGCCAACTGCAAAGAACGTCAATTCAATGCAACGCATGTCAACAGATTTTGAAAGACCCCAGGTTGATTTGGTTCTCAATCGTGATGCGTAAAGGACACAAAGAGAAACTCGTGCAATGTTGTCACAGATGTAATCTAGTCATCCAGGTTTCAATGACCACTGAAGAACTGGTGACAACAAAAGTGAGACTACAATGCACACTGTGTAAAATATCCCAAGAAAAAGTATGCATATCCCAGGTACTCAGGATATATAGCATGCTCCAAAATACAAGATTGTGACACACTTTTTGTTCTGTCCCAAAACATGGCCCCTGTTGACACATGATTTTCAGCAGTTTGCCATGGTCTGGACAATATCGAAATTGTGGGGATGGCAATTTTCCCACTCACCAACATATATATCTACCACTGAAGCAGCGAAGTTTAAGAGCACAGCATGCAAGCATGACGAGCTATGCTGTATTTTCAAAGGCGATCCGTGTTTGGCAAATTTGGAACTGGTGAATTCTGGCCACCACTGAAGCAACGCCTTTTGGCATTTATCCAAAATTTATGTGGCACTGTTGTCCTCAGGTGAAAAAGAAAGGCAGCAGCAATATTGCCTTATGCGACATGTGGCATGTAATCATACATAAGGTTCTGCATCCTTTTTGGAAATGTATAACCATGCTTCTATTGGTTGCCTTACAACGCCGCTGCTCACTGCATTCTTATTTGGCACATGGCGGAACGATGGGCTGCTTTAGGGAGTCCAATACTCTAGCAACGTACGACCATCGCCCTGTCCCAACTGCCAAGAGTGTAGCAGAGCATTGGGTCCCTTTTCCCCATTCTGTTATTTCATCTATCACTGTCATTTCCACCCTTGATTTCTATCACTGGGGAGCCAGGATTAAACAGCAAAACAGCCCAGCAGCTGATGCGTTGACTTACAGATGCAGGTTGCTGGACTGATGAAGAACAATTATCCTGCATAGATGGATACTCTAACTCTGTAAGTGCAAAGCCAAAGGATGGGTGACTACAAGCCATTGACAGTCCAGGAGGAAGCAAGCGCTGCTTGTCATTGCCTTCCTGGTGCAAGGATAGTAAGATCTACTGTGGAAAAAAGTGGAAGCACAACTTCATACACATATTGTTCTGTATACTCCCACCTCCTGACCCCACCTCTCTAACTGCGCAGTCCTCATCAGCCTCGTTCTTCATCCTCTTGCCCCTGGGGAATCCCCAAGCAGCATTTCCCCGCCAGCCCTTCACCAGCAGAACCTTGTCCATGGCCGGGTTCAGCATTATGGCACCCATCACAGGCACCTGGTGTTTGAATGTCTGAAACTGCTTCAGGAGCTGATCTTGCTGCTCCTGTACACAAATGCCAAGCAAATATGATCGGTGCCTGCTGTGGTTGGCTGTGAAATCGGAGCAACGATTGACATTTGTCCACGTGGCCATCTATGCTTAGATTCTGGTTCAAAAACGCCAAGGTGAGAGTAAATCACAGAAAATCTTGGGCATAGGAGGGCATGCGCAAAGGAAGTGCCCTTGGTTTGATTGGTTCTGTTTCTCTCGATCCTATGCCCCAACTCCCTTGTCAATTAAACCAACGCGTGAGCAGGAAAAAAACTCCAAATCGACATCAAATGGAAAAGAATTGTGCAGTACTTCATATGCAATCACTATCCCATACCAGTGCAAATCACAAAACAAAATTGGAGAAACACGTGGTACCATGTGTGGTTTTCACGCTGTTGTGTTCGTTGCATCGTATTCCATTTCAAATGCGTTTTTGACGTCCAAGATTGCCATGTACAGCCAAAGTTGCATCTGTGAGCACCCTATCAATACAAATAGTGCTGTAGACAACCGAGTTCCTACACTTTCATTTCTATGTCTGAAAGATACCCAACTGACCTTGTACTTCTCTAGACCAGGGCATGTGTCAAATATGAGCGACACAAACTCTCTGAATGACAGTGACCGCAGATTTGGATGGCTGGGGCACAGATGATCCTGCAGGTGGAGCATCAGCCTAAGTCAGTTGGAGACAATGGCACAGGCATGGACACCATGAAGGTGGAAGCACATTGCCAATTCACATCATTTCCACCATGCAATTTTTCACGACTGTTCTTTCACCCAGTAGATGTTCTGGTCCTTAAGGGGACTGGTAAAAGGCTCACAATTATGCGCATCAATGCACTGATGTGCTACAGCTTCCCAAACTAGAATCTTCCACATTCAACTGTCTATGGCTTCAACTGTCTATGCAACAAGCGATCGGATGAAAGCGCAAATCAATTGATTGACACTGTAGTTTTGTACCCCAACTTCCTTGTTCTTATAACTACCACACCATTGATTTTCTGACATTATTCAGTTACTGGCACAGCCAATATTCACAGCTTTTGAAGTGCAGGCTCTGTCAACCCGCCCAGCTAATGCAGGCCTTTTCTGCTTGGACATTTTGGTATCACTCTTTCATCATAGAAATGACAGCTTCAACCTTATTGGGAGGGGATTCTTATGGATTGACTTGCTGTCTACAAGATTGAGCAAAGTTAACAAGTTTTGTCCAAGTATTGGCCACACCTCATAATACCAATGTGCCTCCTCAACGAGAAACAGCAGCCGTTCAACGGTCCTGTGCAGACACAGTCTTTGAGCAATGCTGCCATGTTGCCACTGAAATTCTGTTGACTGCATTAATCCGCAGGATAAACCAAGCCCACTTGCATTCAGAGCACTAGCGGGCTGTCGCACTGGCTGCAGCCATTTCTACCTACCCTGATCGTGTTGGATTTATGAACCATTCGCATTTCCGATCACTTCAGGGCATTATAGGTCTTCACCCTTTATATTATATTTAGACTTTTTACATTTTTCTCAGTTGGCTCGCTTCGCTGTTCCTGGTCATCCCTTTCTGCTTTTCCTGATTCTCTAGAGAAATTCTATCCCATTCACAACACAGAAGAGCATTGCTCGGGAGGGCAACGCAATGAAAGACATGCTCCTGTCCTACACTGCCATTTTTGCTGCCTTTGCTCGGTGGAACCGCAGTGCAGGCACTGCGACCTGTCTTCTGGAAGCGCTACTGTGAGGAATCTTGATTGACTGAAGGAGATGAAGAAGAAAACTACATGGCAAGGAAACACAACCGTGCAAGGGCGCTGGTTGTCTTGTTGTTGATTCTGAAGCGCAACACCCATTGAACGACTCCAGGGGTACATTGGTTGTGACCATGGAGAGCACTCCACTGCAATCAGTGCTCAGGAGGAGTGAGCCCCTCACACGGTGCCTTTCCCCTACCATCAGACAGAGAAACACGAGCGCGCTGGTTGCGGTAATAAGTGGCAGGCGCCGTTTTTTCCGGCCAGCAACTCCAGGACCCGGCCAGAATTAACGCTGCATCGCAGCACATGCAGCGAGCGGATGAGAGCCGCGCGGCTCCAGCATGAGTCACCCACGAAAAGACTTCCGCAGATTGACGTGCCGCGACGATGAGATATCCCCTGATGGAAGGGCGGGCAAACTCACGCTCGGTCCTCCTCGGGCTTGTTCACGATGAATCTGATGCATATGTCCTCCAGAAGCTCCTGGGAGGGCAGGTCCCTCCCGGAAGACGCGCCCGCGCTCATCGCCGCCCTCCCTGATCCCCCCCGACCCCCTTTGCCACCGCAACGAAGGCCGAACAGCGGGCGGTCTGCCAAGCGGGGCCCATGGTTACACGCACGGGATAGCGTAACTCATTCGCTCACCGGAGTCGGCTGGCTTTTTTATTGTGGCACCCATCCTGTGGCACCGGTTCTGGACGGTGCTTGGTGCTTGCTGAAGCGTGCTTCAGTGCTGCTGGTGGACGCATCCGACGGGCGCATGGACAGCGCCAAACTCCGGGAATCTCGTTGGCAATGCCGGAGTGTCGCCGGCCCACGAGGGTGGGCAACGTGCGGCTGAAAGGCTACGAAATCGACGTGCACAAGCTGCTGGACGAATTCGTTTACAGGGTATGCGGCCGCGCGCTGCCATGCGAAATCTTTGGCGTTCACGGATCCTGTGATGGCATGAGAATTGCGCGGGCGAGCAATTTTTGAGAAGTTCGTGGGCTTTTTGTAGGGATTCGTTGACGGATTCATTTGAACCCTTCTGCCGAGTTTAGATATCGAATGTTCGGAAGCCATTCTTGGAAAATTGGCGCCAATTTGCTTCGAAGATGTTGGATCCTGTTCCCCAGTTGCTTTGAAACGCTGCGAAGCTGTCCGCGCTAACCCAGCCCTGATTGATTGCTCCCTTTGTTGCGGCACAGGCGTTGGATGGTGCCCCACTGACGTTCGAAACCTTCAAGGCGGTTTGGAAGGAACACGCTTTCTCCTTCGCGACACTGGTGGGTCCACAGCATGCAGCCCTGCACACCACAGATATCGCAAAGGCGGCCTCCAAAAACTGCATTCACGCGTTGCTTTTCGAACAGCCTGTAGAAAGATGTCCCTGGACGTTGTCCAGTCGACACACCTGACACTGGGCGCCTTTCACTGTGACAGTGTCAATGTAAAACTGTAAAATGTACTTCATGCTTGTACAACAAAATACTCACATGTATGTACGCACGCCGCGTTGACACTTGTGGAGTCCCAATTATGTGTCCTCTGCCCACCTTTGCAAGTCTTGTGTATTTGTATGCTCTGCATAGTTGTTCATCCTTGCACCTTCCACGTGGATTTTGGGCAACATTCTGTGAATTCAAGCATTCTTGCTCACGAGGTTTTGCCCTTTGGATGACACTCTTCTATGCATGAAGAAGATTACCCCAAAAATTCCTTTGTCGTGACTTGTGCAATGTCACCTATTACATCAGATGTCAAGGGCAGAATCGGAACCTAATTTTTGGAAGAAAGAAAGGCCAGTTCCCTGCCAACTCGAGATCGTTTGACGCGTCAGATGTGGATTGGCCATCTGTTAGGCCGTTCCCCCAGGCCACACCCTCCAAGAGTACATCCAGTGTCTGTTTGCAACAGCTCTTGACCGTTTGGACACGCCAAGTCCCCTTGGCCGCCAGAATCTCGTCCCCAAGATGCATGACCCCAAGGGCACCAACTGTCGCAAAGTCAGGCACATGCAGGACGGCGGAAGTGCACAGTTATGTGACTTTGGCGAATGCCCACCTTCTTTTACACAGTCAGATGTGGAGGATTATTTTCTTGGGGAGAGCAACTGGCCCACAGTGGCAAGCTTGCCATCAGGCATGTTGGATTCGATTCGCTGTGAGAATGGCGCATCACCAGTGTGGCCAGGTCTCAGCTCTAAAGATAAAGACAAGAATGACAAGGAGCGCAATGAAGGCGGTGTGGGGGGTTTTGAGAAACAAATGTTGGGTGCAAACAATGCAGCAGATGAGCGAGTAGATGAGGTTGGGGGCCAGGGGCAGCAGATTGGCCAGTCGGGACCAGGCAACACACATGGCGATGGCAACTGCCGCTATCTTGGCAGCTGCAACGAGAGGCTGGATGCACATGAAATTGATGGTTTGGATAACTTAGGCTGCCAATCAGCATCTTGGGGTGCTCTCGTGTCCTTGCAGGGGGACACGTTTGGTGGGGCGCTTCAGTCTTTGCCCTCCTTGTCAGGTTTGGCCACTGAGTCATTGAAAAAGGGCCCCTCACACCCTCGGGGTGAACTTCAGAACGTGCCTGACAGCACGTTGGATGCACCAGACTGGAAAGGCAGACTTGACGAGGTACTCAATGAAGTCTCCCACCTTGTTGATGTTGACAGTACCGCAATCGAGCACGATGCTATGGCCACCAACCAAAATACAGGAGCGGCCAGGGGCATGGAGAGTGTGCTCCCTGCTGAATCCAATGGAGCGGATTTGGCTCAGGAAGCTGGCAAAGATAGTTCAGGTTTAGTTTCTGATAGGACCCCAGCTGAAGAGGGCTGTACAGAGAGGCCTGCAAAGAAAAGTCGCCCAGCTCTCAGTCACAGGGATGGCCAGGGCATGGCCACCTGCGACGGTGTTGTTGTCTGTGACTCACAAGTGGGCCCTGGGCAGTGTGCAGCCTTGGAAGGAAAAGGGCAGAATGACAACAGCATGCTTGCTGGTGGTGGCAGCCCAACACGTTTGCAGAGCTCTCCGGCCCCTTCCCAGCCCACATCGCCAGTAACCCCAACTAATTCTCTATGCTATGGCCATCAGCAGGACCATCATACTGCGAAAGAGTCTGCAGCACAACAGAAACAGACCATAGGACGGGGACAAGTTTGTGGTGGAGGCGAAGGGGTGGGAGATCAGTTGGATGTGAGACCAACTGCAGGCCATCGTGTCAGATGTACAAATGAAGAGACACAAACTCGTGACAAAAGGTCACCTTTGGAAGAGCACAAAGGAAACCAAAATTCAGAAGCTGTTGTGAACAAAGATGACCGAGGTGGTGCTGACTGCCCTTGGGCCACAGATTTGAGGGATGACATTTGTGCTGATTCTGAAAGTGAGGTGCCAGGCAGCTTGAGAGATGACGTTCCATTTGAGGCAATGGTGGCTGCGATCTTTGCTGTGTACAGCATATATTATTGCCAGGTTCTGGAGCCACACACCTTGGTGTACCTCCCTGTTGAGCTCCTGGAAAGGTTGACTGCACTTGTGCCGAAGTTACAGGAGCGCGGACAGCTGGAGGCTCTGCAGATGCTTAAGAAACTTTTTGCGGTGAGGGGATGGAGCTGATCGCCACCGCATACCAACACCCTGGAATCTTGAGGAAAGCGACGTCCATCGATTCCTGTCTGCATTCGATGTTGGTTGCAGCACATTGCCGCCCATTCATTGCAAAGTCTGGTTTCCCTTGTCCATGTGTTGTGATACACTGCAGCAGTGGGAAAGGGTTGATTTACCCGCCCATCCCTGCACCACACCACAGCGGCCCCCTGCACTGAAAAATGATGCAGATGTCTAGCTGAGCCATGACCTCCCAAAAATGGTTCGATCTTGACTGCCTGCACTCCACTTGTGTTTGTGGCGCAAGTGAACTGCAAGGAGGAAATCTGAACATTTTGGGAAAGGGCTGCCTTTGCTCGATTCTGGCACTATTCCGATGCCCACAACAGATATTGAGCTTCCGGGAATGCAGCATGCTGTTGCGGAAATTTCGACACTGTCTGTAGATTTTGAGACAAAATTGTTATTCTAGCCCGCATTCCACCACTCCCATTTTGAGTTTCTGTGGCCTTGGTTTACCTTTATTACATGTAATCGGCAGCACTCTGCAGAATTGGTTGTGCACACTGCAATGGTTGGTGAGTGCCAAACTACTTTTGCAGGATGAGGCATTCCTGTTTGGAGCTGTGCGGCGTCCGCCTAGCTATGTGAATCGCAAGGTTAAGCACAACGAGGAGGAGATGTCAGCAATTCGAGATATTGCCTTTCACATCAAGAGCACCCTCAAGGTGAAGTACCATGTCAGAACCATCGCTCACAGCTGGTTGAAAGAAAAGAGAGCAACAACGGACTCTGAGACTGCCAAACCTGACTGTGACCTAAGGCCACGCTAGTTGTGGACCGTTGCCCATCGTTTCTGCATGGTTATTGAGTGTGTCTGCCATTTAGTACTGTTGATGTTGTTCCTTCTTTACTTTCAGGTGTTTATCTGAGTCCTAAATTTGCAAGCATCAGCTGTAATCCAATGGCATGTACCGCAGATCACGGAGGATAGCACGCCCCCCCCCCTCCACATCAGGGCTGACAACAGGAATGCGGGGGGCACTATCTTGCGTGCCCCCAGGGTTCCGCATCAGGTCACTGACTCAGTAGCGCCCCCCCGCGTTCTCATGCTTGCTGGCGTACCGGCAGCAAAGCGCTGGTACCCCACCAACTTAGCGCATTACAGAAGGCGCCATTCACGGCACCAACCAAAACCAGCGCCAAAAAATTAGCGGGATGCCGCAGGTCGCTGCATTATGCCACGCCACCCATGTTGCCAGATTGATTGGCAAAGCGAACAGGTGCCTGGCCAATGTAGCATATTGCAGGACCTTACATAACGTTGCATAAGGCCCCAAGCACAGCGCCCAACCAATAACAGCTATTGGGACATCGCACTGCACTGGAGACGGCCTGGAGATCCTGATGACCTTGGTTTGAGTGATGGTAGTCTGGATCTGGACACTGAGAATCTTGAGGACTTGATGTTTGATTGAAGGAGGAATGTCATGGGAATGTTTAGTTGGCGTGAACTTGATAACATTGGGGTGATAGCACATGCAAGGAGATGTACGAATGTGTGAAAATGCTTTTGTACTGTGGTTGGACGATGTTGAAGTGAATGGCGCCCCCTTGTGCTATCTTGTGTACCCCCGCGCTCCACAGCACCTGCCATGTTGGATAGCACTGGGAACATTATCTAAAGGCCCCCACACTATTCAACACCCCCCCCGTGCTGTCCTCCATGATCTACGGTATGTTTGCCGTATTTATTTCACCAGAAGTACAGCACATGTGGAAGGTTGGCCAGAATCCTGTTGTCTACCCACTGATGAGTCAAAATCCTTTCAACAAACAGCAAGGCACAGAGACTTCCTAACACTGAAAGGTGAGAACGTTCCAACTTGGGAGCTTCCTGCATTGTGTACATTTGCACTTGCAGAGCTTCTTCTGCAGATATGTCACTGCACTGGGCTGAGCCCAGTAGTAGCAGTGCCCTGCTAAGTTTTTACAAGTTGGGACCCTCTCTGGTGCACATTCTCTCTAAGCCAACTGATATAAAGGTGCACTGCCTATGGCCAACTATCCCACACCATTGGCAACTGGCAACTCTGTTGAAGCAACGAGCTTCAGCATTGCTCAATACAGAAATCGTGCTTGTGAACGTCAGTTCCCATCCCTCCATGACCCCTGGACCAGGCAAGCAGTGGCATGATGGTGATATGAGCAAAGCAAGGCGAAGAGTGGTGTCCTGCAGATTGCAGTCCCCTGCATCAGCTTTTCATGTGGTGAACATAATGTTGTGTCAGTTTGTGGTAAATGTTTTCAGTGTGAGCATGTTTTATAATCTCTCTGCTCCTTGGTGCAGGGCCTTGCTGACTTTTCAGGCCTCATCAGCGACTGTAATGCCTATGATCGTGCCCGTGTGGCTGCAGTCCAGCAGCAGGGGGAGAGAGGTGAAGAAACGAATCGGCTTGTAAGTTTTGTGATCCTGCTGTGCTGGTGCACTAGTTTAAGCGATGTCTCTGCTTGTGCTGTGTTGCAGACTCTGTGTGTTGGTTGGCAGATATTGGCAATGAAATAGGGCTCAAGTATTTGAGCTCCTTTGGGGCTTGATTGGGTTCATGCTGGGAAGGTTTATGTTGGATTACATCTGCAAGACATCCTTTATGGGCACCATAGGAAGCCCAGGAGTCTTATACTGCACAGCTCTCTGATATTCTCCATTTTCCACTCTTTCAGATTCCCTTTGTGCTGCACACCAATGACTGTTCAATGTTCTACATGATGTCCACAAGAACAACAAGCTGCTATTTCAGTAGGTCTATCTTGTGTGTGGCAACTGGATTGTATTTTCAGTTCAGCCCTTTTGCTTTGCTGTTGATATGCACTAACTTGTATCACTCCTTGACAGCGATCAATACAGCCATTGAAGGTCGTACTTGGTACTTTAACTCAAGCCCAGTTAATGTGCAGCACAGTGCATGTGTTTGCTGCAAATGCTAATCTACAGCATTTCCCAACACAGCTCAGCACTTCATTTACACAGATTACAGCACCCTAGGTACTTTGCACTCGAGGGTTGTGGTAGTTCTGAGGTACTATACCTTACTGGGGTGCTTTAGTCTTTGGGTCTTTCTTGTTCATGGGCCAAATGGAGGGGCTGGCAAACAAACCTCTGCATCTATCCTTCAACTGTTCTTCAGTTGAAAACATGGAGTCGAGTGTCACAAATCTTGTTGCAGAATCTGCCCTGTTTTTAGAATCATGTGGGACAGAACATCACTCCAGATCGCTCCGGGTGTCTGCAGGACTTGTTCGATGCAAGTATTGGCTGCCAGCTGGGTGACTGTGCCTCCACCCGTTATTGCGAATTGGTGAAGATGATTGCAGAAGATGTCTCAGAGCGTACCAAAGAAATGCAAAGTGGCCAATTGATGGAGAATTCCAGAAACGGTAAGGGGATTCAGGGGCAATCTGCTGCAGTTTTATGTGGCATACAGATAGCTACACTCTGCATTGCTTGATCAAATTTATCAAAAGTGACAAGCTTCTAGCTTATCATCAATAGGGTGAAGTCTACCTGTAGCCCCAGCAGGAGTTGTGGTGTTTTCCTGTGGAGATTGGTAGATTTGTATGCACCATCAGTGGCATTTCCGTTCAATGTTCAGCATTGTCACATTTTGGGGCACATCAGACAGTTGGGGGCTTTGCAAGAACGTGGGACAGAACATTGACGAAGCGGACATTACCCTTATCGCCCTGTAAGTGCCAGGCGTGACCTGCCAGGGTCAGTACATGGAATCAAAGGGATCGAGCATCAATGCACTGCTCAACCTCAACATCAGCTTCACAGCACTCTTCAAATCATGCAGCATGCAGAAGTCATAAACATGGGATCTATCCGTTCCTTGCTTGGTTACCAGAGTCTGAAACCTTTGGCAACTGGCTTCACAGAGTAGCCACCAGCAGCAGCGTCTTGGGACATGCGCTGATGCTGTTGAGAGCACTATATGTTCTACAGATGCATTGATGCCTTGTTGACTGCTGAATCTTTGTGAGCTTGTGCTGCAGTCATGCTCATTGTGCATTTGCAAGACACCACCATTGCACCTTCAAGGCGATGATGGGCATTCGATCATCCACATTGTTTGTTGTCATAGTGTGCCTGAATAACCCTTGCAGTTGGTGTATACCAGCCACTGATATCTTGAGGAACTGCATGTTGGATGACAAGTTCCTTGCCATTCCATGTCCTTATCCACCACCTGCTCTGCAGTTGCGGAGGAAATTCGGTACTCATTATTGCTGCCTTTTGTTTTCTATGTGCAACGGTGGCAGACAACAGAATTCTGGCTTGGGTGCTTGTGTCCCTTTGCAGAACTGCACAGGCGACTTGCAAGGAAGGCCAAAGAGAAGAAAGCAAGGGGCTCATCAAGGCAGAGGGGCAAACCTGATGGCCTGCCCTGCCCAACAGTCCGGAGACACGTTGGCACAGCACAGCTGCCATCCAAGAAGCCAAGTAGGAAAAGAAAGGTGGCACCACCAACTGCCGGCGTTGCATTGGAGGTCAGTATTGCTCAACTCGATTTTGTGAACCCTATTTTTGGCAATCGTGCCGCCCAACGTTCTACTGTGCAAGGGAGATGGCAGGAAATGCATGAGCACTGAGGATGGGCTTGTCTCCCTCGCGACTTTTAAAGGTTTGACGAAGATTTTTGCCATTTTCAATTTGACGGAGGTCTTTGCCATTCTCAACTCAAGCTTCAAAGGATTGGCAGGTTGGCACAAAGTCGTTTTGAAAGGGATGGGAGGAGACTGGGAGGGTGGAAGGTCACTAACATGGCAGTACTCATGTGTTGCGCAGGATGACGAGAGCTCCCTTGCATGCCTACCGCCCGCCGCTCGCAAGGCTGTCCAACACAGTCTTCTGAGGAGGCAAGCAGCAGCTGCCAGGCCCCAAGGCATGCCTAACAGGACACAATGCACTGGGCGTCCCCAGCCTGGGGCCCCAGGGTCCGACCCCGTCTCAACCGCTGAGGCCCATGGGAGTGTTGTCACGGCTGACTTCGAGGGGCTGTTGATCAGTGGGGAGAGGGGTGGGGCTCCGAGCGGGAAGTGCTCGAGGGGTGCCGGCGAGCACCCCCAGGTCGGTGATGGGAGGAGCGGCCAACCCTCCAAGGGTGGACCGATAGAGATGGGTGCAGTAGAGGACCAGATCCTGACGGACGTGGATGCCCAGTTGGAGGCCTTCAGGGCTGCGTTGGCTGATGGGGACGCTGCGCTTGAAGAAAACCCCCCACCATGACCTTGTGCTGTGTCTTGACAGGTTGGAGGGAAATCCTTGCCTTGTTATGAAGCATTTCATGCTTGAGAGTGAGCCGCGAGGCGAGTGTGGTTTTGTGCGAGTTTGGCGTCTTGAAATTGGGCGAGATCTTCACTTCTTTTTACGCCCCTGGATTGGCCTTTACGGACAAAAAACTACCAAATAATCGATCAAGAAAAAATCAAACATCAAGGCGAGGAGACAGCCATCAGCTCCTCTGATTTCAACCCGGTAAACCAGTGTCGTCACAACTTCCGCGCAAGAATGATTTTTGAACTTACTGGCAGACTCCCGCCTTTTCGGCCCTCCCACGGCGATTCAATATTTGGAAATGACTGGAGATGACGCGACCGCCACTGCGGCGCACACCAGCCCCGCAGCTCCCCCCTGCCCCGCTGCCTTGTTGCCCGCGCAAAAAACCCTGACGACCGCATTGCCGCCACTGCCCGCGAACGCCCTTTCCCCAGCCGGATCCCCGCAGCCCGTACCCGCACCCCGCCCGGGCACCCCCGCGGCCGCGCGGCCCGCCGCCCACCCGCGTAGGCACGCCGCCACGACGGGCCATCCCGGTCGCCCTGGTCCGGGGTCATGCCCGCGACGCGGCGCCTGCGGAACAGGCAACACCGCGCGGCGGCGATAGAGGCCTACGCCCGGCTCGACAGGCAAGCAGCCAGGAAGAAGGGCCGCGGGGCGGCGTCCTTTGAGGGCAGCCCGCCGGCGCCGATCGGGGGATCCAATTTGTCGAAAATCCCGATTCGCAGCAACAAGGAGGCGGCCGAGGGGAGGGAGGGGGGAGTCGGGAGGGACAGGGCCAGGGGGACCGGGAGGGGTAGGGAGAGCATTGGCAAGCAGCGGGAGGCAAATCAGCTGGAGGATTCGGGCAAGAAGTTGCCCAGGCCGCGCACCCCCGGGGCACCCGTCACGCGCGCGCGCCAGAGGGAGGCAGCCTTATCGCCTGTGATTGGGTCCTGGGAGGAGGAGAAGGAGGTGGAAGAGGAGGAGTCGGAGGAGGAGTCGGAGGAGGAGTCGGAGGAGGAGTCGAAAGAGTCGGAGGAGGAGGAGGGGGAGGAGGAGGGGGGAGAGGAGGAAGGGGAGGAGGAAGAGGAGGAGGGGGGGGAGGAAGAGGAGGAAGAGGAGGGGGAGGAAGAGGAGGAGGAGGGGGACAGGGGGACGTCCAGCGAAAACACCACGGGAGGTTATTTGGGGGAGAAGTGTACGGCTGGGCAGAGGGGCGGGGGTGGGAAGCAGGCGAGTGGTTGTAGGGCCCGGGGGCGTGAGGGGCCTCTGGCAGGGCGTGGTAAGAAGGGGGAGGAGGAGGACAGGGGATTCGGCGACCGAGGCAACACGGCCAGGGGCAGGGGGGGGAAAAGGAAGGGAGGGAGGGCGGAGGCAGGGGGCGAGATGAAGGGCCGGCCAGAGGCCAGTGAGGGCAAGGAACCCAGCGCGGACAAGGGGGGCAAGGAGGAGGAGGGCAGCATCTCTCCTGTTCCGGAGAGGGTGGGTGTGACGTCTGCGCGCGTTGAAGGGTTTGATGTGGGGATTGGTGTTGATGGGTTGGGGACCTGGCTTGGGGGCCAATCGTTTGGGCTCTCGCGTGCGCATGTCAGTTGGCAGAGGGGCATGCGGGGGTACCCTTCACTGTCAGGGAAATGCAATGGATGCATGACGGGGCAGGGTGGATCATCATGTTGCGCTGTTTTGGGCTGAGACCGATGCCGCCTGTTGTGTGGCGCGACCGGACTCTTGGGTAGGTGTTGAGGCGCTCTTGTGCTGTTGCAGGTGTGCGTGGGGGGCTCCCCAGTGTACACGGTGGAGAGGAAGCTTGGCAAGGGCGGGTTCGGCCAAGTGTACGTAGGCAAGCGCGCACAGGCGTCCAAGGCCAAGGACGGTGCTGGCGCCAACGAGGTGAGGGCCATGCTGAAGGGATAACACCGGCAGTGCAGCAGCTCTGCAGCCGCTTGGATCTTGCTCTCTTTGGGCTTGAGCGGCCCAAGGGTGGGGCTGTTTGGGTGTTTGAATTTGTTGGATGTCTTTCAGTGGCTTGAGCGATCCATTATCCAGCCTGGAAAGGCAGCAGCTGGGTGAGGGCATGTATGACTGGCGGCTGCGCCCTGTGCGCAGGTAGCCCTCAAGTTTGAGCACAGGAGCAGCAAGGGATGCATCTGTGGGCCCCCCTTCGAGTGGTCTATCTACGGGTGCGTCACTATGCTCAGTTGGCCAACTGTCATATTGATAGAACAATGTGGCTGTGGGTGCTTCAAATCGTTGGACCGGGGCTCCCACACAAGCCTTGGTTGTCTTGGCATGAGGGTGGCCATTCATTCTCTTTTGGCCTGAGAATAGCTCTTCAATTTCCCTGACCCTGTCCTTATGATTTATGTTCGATGGGCTGACTTCCAATATGCTGCAGCCGCCTTGGCGGGTGCCATGGCATTCCCAAAGTGCACTACAAAGGGATGCAAGGAGACTACTACATCATGGTGAGCACATGCTTCCCTGCAGCTGTTTTGTATTTGATCAAAGTGCCAAGATTGCCGCACTTCTTGCCTCACACTTGTCATGCGCTTGCTGCTTTAAGCCATGCTTGGAGGCTGCAGTAGCTAGGTGTTGTGTTGCCAGCAATTGTGGAAGGGGCACTGGCAGCATTTTTTACTTGACTATGTGTTTCGATGCCAGGTGATAGACATGCTAGGGCCCAGCCTGTGGGATGCCTGGAATACGCAGGGACAGGTGATGTCACAGGAGATGGTTGCATGCATTGCAGTTGAGGCTCTCTCCATCCTCAAGGAGCTTCACAACAAGGGGTGAGCTGTCTACCCCATGCTTTGTCAGAGTTTCCAGCACACGTGCTGGCCTCATCCCCTTTCAGCATGTTCATCAAACTGCCACATATTATCCCCACTGCGGCATTCAAGGCTGGCTGACTTGAGAACCAGCATACAGGCTGAAAACAGTGTTGAACAGAGCCGCATGCTGCCATTGCTGCTTCCTGAGGTCATTTTGCAGTTCTCACAAGTTTGGTTCTGCTGTTCTAGGCATGTGCACGGCGATGTGAAGCCCGAAAACTTCTTGCTTGGGCCGCCAGGCACTCCATCTGAGAAGAAGCTGTTCTTGGTCGACCTTGGGCTTGGTAAGCTTTCTACACCTCCACTTCCTTTGTGTTTCACTCCACCACAGTGTTGCTCATGATTAGCACACTGTCAGAGATGAAGTGCCAGTGTCCTGGACTGGTGGACAACAACTGTTGAATCTAGAAGAACCTGTTGCTGTTGTTGAGCAAATGACTTGGGTTCATACAATGGATTGTGTCTTCATCCCTTGCTGGTTGATCTCAGTATAACCACAACTGACATTGGCGTCCCCTGAAATGGGCCATTGGTGTCCACTTGAAGCCCATGCATGCAAATGAGCGTGATGCTATTGTTGGATATATTTGTGCCATTTCCCTTGCTATTGCTGGCTTTGTTGGCACCAAAGGAGAGTAGGCTGAAGGGAGAGACTGCTAGACCAGGAGTCGCTGGCTACCCTTGGGGAAGGGGTCTGTATTCATCCACCTGCTTCAGATCCTGTTGGCTTGTGATTTGGGTGGTGGCTACATTGTTTTTCATCTGTGTTTTGCAGCCACAAGATGGAGAGAAAATGTTTGTGAAACTCATGTGGAGTACGATCAGAGGCCAGATGTGTTCAGGTGCTTGACCTTGAGGAACTTGTGCCGAGCAATGTGACACTGTGACACAGTCGCCAGAACCAGTGTCCACCTGTGCATCCATCTGAAGGCAGAATTGACAATCAAGAAGTGTCAAATATGTGGCAAGCAGGCAAAGGGAGAATGTGTTTTTCTTGTTTCTTCAATTCCTGATTGTGCGATGTGTTTTGGTATTGTATTGCTACTTGGCAAGGAAAGCGTTTTCGTGGAGAATAACCATTCACATCTTGACCCTCCTGTAAACTGCTGGGCTGTCAGCACCTTTGTGCAATGATCTTCTTGTAGGCTGGTGGCTCCTTATGACTAGTTTGCCCTAGTTCGATTACTGCATTTTCCTTGGCTGAGTTGTCAATTCTTGGCTATGTCCATGTGTGTTCCTCGTACCCTTTGGGTTGTCTGTTCACTTGTAAGAGAGCTGTTGTCTGGGGTTGTGTTGCAGAGGTACTGTAAGATATGCCAGTGTGCACGCACATCTGGGAAGAACAGCCAGCCGAAGAGATGACCTGGAGTCACTAGCTTACACGCTGCTCTTCCTGCTAAAGGGGCGGCTGCCCTGGCAAGGATACCAGGTGCTGCAATTGGTTCACTATTGTTACTCAGGCACTTGCTGCAGCACTTTGGAACACCATAAATCACCAGATGCTGTTGTGTACTGTTCTGGACAGTGGCTCACTGTGGCTTCAGCATTGCCCTTCTGACTGTTCTGCCTCTATAGTGTTTGCCAGAATTGTTGGCGCACTGCTCCACCTGTTTCAAGGCAGTGAAGATCACTTTCTCAGCACCAGGAGAATGTCCCAAGGGCTGTTGAAGTGAACAGGAGTGCTCAGTCCCAAGTGTGCGGCTGAACTACTTGGTAGTGATATGGAGCTTAGGAATGCGTCACTGTGGGAAAGTGCAGGGGCCCTGTCCCCGATCCACTGCTATTGGTGCTCCTGGCAGTGGTCTTAAGGCTGACTACGGCAGCGGTCGTTGTAGGGTGACAACAAGGGCTTCTTGGTCTGCAAGAAGAAGATGGCCACCTCTGCAGAGATGCTGTGCCGCTACACACCACTTGCTTTTAGACAGGTGAGAGGTGACTTGAGAGGTGAATTTTTTGTTTGAAGTTTCCTCACGATGGTGAATTACTGCCTGTGTACTCAAAAAACAATGGCAGCCATAGTCCCTGTGTGTGTGTTGTAACTGCACAAAAAAACCAGGCAGATGCTTGCAAGAAGTCCACGACCAGACATTTTAGGATGCTTGAAGTGCCTGTCTGTCGTTCCTGTTGCTTTCATTGACTGTGGGTTCCTGCCAAGGCAACGATTGTTTGTTTTAAAGGTCAGTTGCAGAATGTAAGAGCCTCTGTTGAGTACTGATGTGCAGTACATTGTAGTGATGTGTAGTTGTTGAAGTACATTATAGTGCTGCATGGTTGTTGTTATAATTAGAACAGTAGAGCTCTATGGTCCATAACAAGGCTTTGCAGGGCAAGTTATAAACTGTGTTGAAAGTTTCCATGAGCTGGTCACAGTAAATAGAAGCGCTTGCAGTTGTTTTCTGCTTGACATTCAGCATCGCAGACCTTACTGCTGCTTTTGCTCCTGTAGCAATCACATCCTGGCAAACGACAGCATGTGTTCAACATGAACATTACGCAACATTCCACATTACTGACTGTGCATTCCCATACTGGCTACCTCCTGGAAGCAAAGTTAAGTAACACAGTAATATTGTCTGCTATTCAGGCTTTGTTCCCAAATGCATCCACTGCATGCAGCAAGTTGATTCAGCTCTACCTTTGTGGCCACTTTGCTGACTGTTCTGCTCATTTGGTGATAGTTCACAGAGGCTGTGATGAACCTCAAGTTCGATGAGGAGCCAAGGTACGATGCCTACATGAAGCTGTTTGAGCCCCTGTGTGGACCCACGACAAGCCGGCCCGTCCTCACCGAAGGCGCTGCCAAAGTAGGCGAGAAGCGAAGCAGGGATGCGACTGAGGATGTGCTGGATGAGTCACCCAAGAAAAAGACCCGAATTGGTTTGCCTGCAACGCAATGGATCACTGTCTACAATGCACACAGACCAATGAAGCAAAGGTAGGCCACCTGATCTTTCAATGGCAATTCTTCTTTCACCTGCTGTCTGCGTCCTTCACTTCTTTTCCCGTTTCCTTTCTATCTGCTTTGGATCTGTTCCTTCCCCTGCCTTGTGCTTCCAGTCCTGTTTATGCTGTGAATACTGTGCTGTCCTGTTGTTGTGCGCTTATGGGAAAGATTGGGCCCATGTGTCTGAGATATAGAGTGTGTGGCCATGATGCTACAACAGAAAGATGCTGTTGAAGAGAAGTTGACAAATGACTGTAGTTATATCTTCCACCTGCCTGAAATCCACAATGTATGCTGAAAACTACCAACGTAATCGACCTTTGGTCTTTCTCAACCTCCCAGTTTCATCCAATGCAGCACATGCTGATGACCTGTCATACTTTGACAAATGGAGTCTTTGTATTCGTTGTAAGTTGTGGTGCTGTTTTCTTATGCAAACCACAATTTTGTATGTTGAGCACCAATGCATGGTTTGGTCTTCCCCCTGTTTTGCAGGTACCACTACAATGTGGCCGACACGAGGGTGCAGCAGCACGTGGACAAAGGCAACGACGATGGCCTGTACATCAGCAGCGTGGCCTGCTGCCAGGATATGTGGGCCCTCATCATGGACGCTGGCACAGGCTTCATGTGCCAAGTCTACAACCTCAGCAGCCAATTCCTTCCCAAGGACTGGATCATGGAAAAGTGGGAAGACGGGTTCTACATTACGGCCATGGCGGGCTCTTTTGGCAGCTCCAGCTTTGTGGTCATGTCCAAAGGCACCCCCTACACGCAGCAGTCCTACAAGGTCTCTGACTCGTTCCCCTTCAAATGGATCAACAAGAAGTGGAAGGAGGGATTCTTCGTGACGTCGATGGCCACCAGCCACACACGGTGGGCTTCGTGACGTCGATGGCCACCAGCCACACACGGTGGGCGGTGGTCATGTCTCGCAACGCAGGCTTTGTGGACCAGTGCGTGGAGTTGGACTTCCAATACCCGAGCGAGGGCATCCATAGGCGGTGGGATGTAGGCTTCCGCATCACGTCCTGCGCCGCGACAGTGGACCAGGCTGCCTTTGTGCTCAGCGTGCCCAGAAGGCGGCCGCTGGATGAGACGCAGGAGACGCTGCGGACGTCATCGTTTCCCAGTGTTCATGTCAAGGAGAAGTGGCAGAAAAACCTGTACATTGCAGGGGTTGCCTATGGCCGGACAGTGACCTGAAGGGCGTTGCTGGCAGCTGAATGCATGCAGTGGTTGGGAGGCATGCATTGTGGTGTTGTGGGCATTGCGTTCGGTCCCATCTTGCCAGGGGCAGTTTGTTTTGTGACTGTTATGGTTGGTTGCAGTTGCTGTACAGAACAGTTTGCTGTTACCATAATTGCTGGAAATTCCATTGCCAGGTCTTCTTAGTATGCAGCTGGGGCTGCTCCAGCCATGTTGGCCACTTGGGCAGGATGACAGTGACTGGCATCTGATGTTGGGAAACTGTTGTTGTTCCCAGGGATTAATACTGCAGCGCAGGAGTTGTGAAGGACTGTGTTTTGCTTGTACTTTATGATAGCATATAGCCCTATGCAATGGGTTTCGTTGCTCTATTCAGTGTCGACCTGCAAGCAGTTTGTCACAGGGCGACATGTTGCGATCGCCTTGCTAGGGCTTGAGGGTCCAAGGGGGTTGGGGCTTGTAGGTCAAGTAAGGCTGCATGTAGTTTGGAATGGACGGATGGCAGGGCTGCTGTGCGGGTAGATTTCTCGCATTTTGGTGTCCTGGGGGTAGATTTGTCAGAGGTCACAGGTGTGACTGTACCAGACTGGCCTTGACAGATATGACGCCTTTTCGTGCGTTCCATCTGGTTTTGTGATTCGAGTTTGTAGATGTTTCCATCTGGTAGTGTTTGCCAGTGGTGCAAGTTACGATATCGAAGCAGCCAATCAAACAAATGTCCATTGTGCTGTATTTGGAGATTGCAGTGAACGATCAGGGGTGGGGTAGGTTACGTTGGGGGGCCGGGATAGTGGGAAGGGGGACTTGAAATGACACAGTGGGGGCAGCGACAGAGAGGCCCTCTAACGTTGTGTGCACGTTAGGCTTGATGGGCGATTCCCACCCTAAAAATTTCTCATTTTGTGCAAAGTGGATGATTCGCGTTCAGCGCCTGTAAAACAGAACATGCACTGGTGATACAATGTGGGGGTGCCCGCTGCATTCTGCCTTGTGCTACGGGCACGTGACTGGTTGCCAGCAACCTGCCGAATCTGAGTTTGGAGTTGCGGGTTCCAGATGCACACTCGAGGCCTGAAACTCATCACCAAGTTCATCTATTAGCATCGCCGTGGATGAGTGAATGCCTCCTCGAAATTTTACAAAGTGCAAGAAAAAGTACACCTGCTTCATGCATCGCTCTGTAAATCTCCAAACAGTGTTCAGAAACTGCACCCACGTGCCATCGATGAAACGCTGGGGCTAATTTGTTGACAAGGATGATCATGGTTTTCCAGGTATTGCAATTCCCGTTAATGAAAAGCTGCAGCAACTATAAGGAATATTAAAGCACAGTAGTGGTGGAAATTCTTGAGGACTCCGGATATCCTATCCGCCTATATTCTCACACTGATAGCAGCTATGCGAATCTATCTGCAACGTCACAGCATTCCAATGTTGACATCGCAGCAGAACAAAGGAACAAAGTGCTCATTGAGTGTAGTTGCAAATCCTCTGTCCGTCCGGGCGTTGGACTTTCAGATACCGTGGAATCGTTTGCAACATTGGATCACCCTTTGGCAGCAATCATTTTGCGAAAATTCAAAACAATGGACAAATAGGAAAGTCGAAGAAATCAAAATTTCAAAAACAATTGGCACAGGTCTTGTGCTCTGGTTTTCTCGATTCAGCGTGGAGATTATGAAGGTGGCATGCAGGGCATTGTTCATGGATTTGAAACGTGCCTGTCGTCGGCCTTTAGGTGCAAAAGCCCCAATGGTCACCCTCGCTAAACTCGACCAAGCGCCTGGGGCAGATGTTGCAAAAGCAGAATTGCAGACTGACAGAGTGCTTCATTAGCGGCACATGCGAAGGTGAACTAGACTGCACAAGGCTCGCCCGAGACGGTCATGGTGGGACGCTAACAAGTGCTGCCAACGCCAAGTCATCATATTTCACTGGGGAAGCTGGCACCAAACACAAAGACAGGTGACAAACAGTTATGTACACTAATTAATTAACGAGAAGAAATATATACATATGTAAATAGACGAATTCGGATCTGTGTATTTGCAATCACAATGGTATCGTTCAAGCAATGTTTGTAGGACCGCTACAGGATTCCAGGAAGTCAAGAAGGTACAAGTGCGTTCAGACATTGTATGAAACCAGTAATTTCGATATCCGGCAATGGGCCAGCTAAAACTCTTTCACATGCCGTTCGGCAGAATTTTGTACGCGGCCAACGTTTATGATGATTTTGCAGATGCCGAAATAAGTTCTTGAAAATACACTGATACAAGAATGTCAGAAAGGTTGCCAAGGACAAAACCCAGGTCCGGAATGTGGGGAGCTGCAAAATGGAAAGCTATTGGCTGCCTCCTTGCTCGTTGTGCCTGCTTGTCTGGGTAAGCACAGTCTTTGATATATAGTATTTGATATATATATGTTACATAATAAGACAGTTTTGTGTTCAGATAGCTTTATCTGATAAGATAATTGTTACGCAGCTTTCTCATTACATTCTCAAATGCTAGGGCAAGTACACCCTGTTTTTAGTTGAAATGGCCAATTTTGCCCAAGGTGCAACGCCAGCAAGGCTGCGCTGGAGCCTTTCCCCCCCTTTTGTCGTTCTCCAACACGCCACACGACTGGTCTTTGGGCCCGGCTGGTAAATAAATTTCCAGACGTATGTGCACCGTCACACGCTCAGGGCACTTGAAACGTTTGGCCAGCGCCCCCACAAAGACTGAAAACGCCTGGCTAGTCCCGAAAAGGCCGCCAGGTCTCGTGGTCCAAACCTCAAATGGAGAGCTCATTTGACCCCGGGTGAGGAAGAAAGCATTGCTTCATAATAGGGGCGCGACATCGCTCCCCGTCTGCCAGAGCCACGACTTCGGAGTTTTGCCCATCCAATTCAACAGGCTGACAGGAGTAGTTGGATGGACTTCCCAGCCGAGTGTCTCCATTTGATTGCATACCAATTTCCATTTTGTTCAATGCTTTAGCATCATCATCATCATCATCATCATTATTTACAGAGCAAGGCAATGAGGTAGCCGTCAGCTTCCTATTTTGCCTGAACAAAGCAGCGTCGGTCATTGGCTCATTGAAATCTAATGAGAAATGCAAACTAAATCTATGATTCTATGGACTCTCGATGCCTAGAAGCGATAATCGATGGTAATACTTTAGCACTGCATATGTGGTGCGCTGTCATGTTTTGTCGTGATAGAGAAGCGGCTTCCCGCCCCAAACTGGCCATGGGCCGCGTGACCGTCGTTATTCGACGCTTCGCATTCTTCTAAGCGTCCCTTGTCGAATACCATTACGTGTCGCCGCCCTCATCAACGTCACAGTCACCGAGATCAGCAGGGGATCAAGGTGGCTCGCGCCTCTCGCTGCGTCGTCAGACTTATGGAGATTTGTGCCTGGCCTCATATCCACAGCGCTCCGCGTATGAGTGCTGCAGAAATGCGGAAGGTGAATCGGCAAGCCCTGTCCTCAAGAAGAAAGGAGGTGAGTTCCGCGACTGCGGGACGATGCAGCTGTTGACTCAATGAAGATTAATTGCTTTCTGTGTATTCATTCTCCAAATCTGAGAAAGACTGCCAATATATATATCCAGGTCTAATGCAATGAAAATATGCGCAGAAGAGGGCCCGATAATTGGAAAATTTTCCAAAGGGAGAAGTCAGTGGCACTCCTAGAACCTCTTTTCGTTGCTTGTGGATGCTCCACAGAAATTTTTGATAAATCTCTGCCATGTCAGCAGTGGGAATTGCGGGGCTGCCAGGCATCATTGCGGATCTAATTCCAATGGTGAATTCACTACTTCTAGGCAAAGTGACTCCGGAGTCGTTTTCAAATTAATAGCCACAAGCAGCAGGCGCTCCTTCACAGGTCCTCAGCACACAGGATCACTTATTTCACTGCCAAATACCATACCACGATGCAGAAATCTTTGAAGTGCAGTAGGGCCCTGGGGGTAGAGTTACCATCCAATTCTTCCCAGACCACCACTCTGTGATATCCGCAAGCTATGCATGTTAACAGGTCTACAGTGAAAACAACACATGGAAGTAACACTACGCGTGATCCTGTTGCTGCCTACAATAATCTGAACTTTGGCAGAAATGCTATTTGCTTGTAAACGCTGCAATGCCTGTGCACACAAGGGCAAAATACATAATCTTTCTCACAATGCTCGGGTCTCATGACGTGCTGCGTGCGGTCCCCTCAAGGGTTTGAAGCATGGTACAGTAACTTCACAGCACGAGAGCTGAAGCAGTGGTGCTCCCATACCAATCTGAGTACCACTGGAACCAAGCTGAAGCTGGCAGCAGCTCTCGACGCCTGATTCCTATGCCAAATGGTGGTCCCCGTGCCGGGCACGACTTCCCCTACTGTTCCTACTAGAGTTGTGGACGATATATTAATGCAAGAGCTTAAGGCTCCCACGCCCGAAGGCACCCATGCTCATGGCGTTGGTGGGGAAGGATGGCAGACTGCTAGGGCAAATAATGCCCGCTCCAAAACAAAGAATGTCTCTTGCAGTATGGAAGTCATTCCCACGGACTTAGTGGATGTTGATGGAACGCCCACAGTAGACAATGCTCTGGTGGAAGTTTCAGGTGCGGTTCTCACTCGCCCTATTGCTGCCACAAAATCTACAAAACCTCTCAGTCCCCCCATGATCGCGTACATCAAGCCACTCACCCAAAACGGAAGAAAAACCTGTGTCTGATCTTAGATTTCACTGCGACCAGGTTGGGAACGACTTACCAATGTACCCCACAAACTATGAACCAACGACTATCATAGAATGGACGTCTCTGGATGTGGAGACCCTCTTTTGCATTTGTTAATGACACGGTCTCCCTTAAGGACAACAGCATGACAGGTTGAGCAAGCCCAAATTGATACATGGGAATGTAGTCCTTGTTACATTTTTGTGCATGCCTTTGATCCCCCCCCTCTTTCTCTCCAAATGCCGGTGCTCTATCCCGCTGAAGAAGCACTACGCTGTGTCTCGTATCTCCCCCCTCTTCCCCACACCACAGCCAATTGGCCATTGCAATACAAATGGATTCGCAAACTCCCCACCCCCACCCCCACACCCCCCACCCCCACCCCACCCCACCCCCACCCCTCCCCACCCCGCAGGCCATTTCCCTAGACTTATGTGGATATGTTGAGGGGCAAGTCTCTCATCGCACTTTTTTGTGGCATTTTCACTCAAATGTAGCACACTATGAATTGTGTGCTCCAAGCCAATAATGACTCATGTGCTGAACCATAGCACACG